CGGACACCGGTGTTCCTACTTTATCTGCCTCCACTACCGTCATTGTTCAGGTATGTTTTCTATGTTTGTAAGAGCTAAATATTGGAGTGAATGAGTTTTTTCAAGGAAATGTATGAATCAAAGTGTTAATTGTAGGCATATTTCTGTATAGTAAGCACAGGTTAACATGTTAATTATTAATTACTGTACCTTAATAGCAGGTACAGTAATGTTGGAAAATTCAGTTTTTGTGCTAAAGCTACGGAACTTGTTTTGTTTGTATTTATATCACGATTTTTTATGTTAGATGTTTAAATGCTGTGTGCATGAAAAGTTCTCATTGTTCAGAATGCTTATTGTACAAGTATAAACAGGAAAGTATATTTTAAGATTATGCTAAAGTTTCATAAAGATAAATGTTATGTAGTGTAAAGTGTTAGACAGTATTAATTTCTGGGGAGGTTTTTATTGATAGTGGTTAAAGTATAGAAATACAAAGTATAAAATAGATGATTACAATTAGAGTGAGCCAAATGCTGAAGGAATTAAAACTTTGTCAGTTGATTCATTGTCTATATTTTATGGATCCATGCTCATGATAGTTTGATTGTTCATAGCTGGAGAACATCAATGATGAAGAACCAGTGTTCAGTTCCCCAGTGTATGATGCCCAAGTGCCCGAGAACTCCCCACCGGGCACTCTTGTCATCAATGTCACCGCCCATGACGCCGATGAAGGGCAGTTTGGAGTTGTCACGTATTCTCTTGCCGGTTAGTCTTCAGAAAATATTTTCAACTATTATTAAAGCATTGAATAAAATATGTACTATACTGATTCCTGGGCTAATGCTCCCTTGGGTGTTTCTACAAGCTAGGAGTCTGTGTAGGAATGCACTCACACATTTCACCTGCTGTAATGCATGTCATGTCACACATGTGATGTAATGCACGTCATGCAATGCATGTCATGTAATGCACGCCATGCAATGCATGTCATGTAATGCACGTCATGCAATGCACATCATGTAATGCATGTATGTCAGCTCTAATGATATGTTCATCCACCATGACATTACAAAGAGAACAGTCACATAACTTGGAAAGATATACACTGGTGAGTGTAGCCTGAGCCACCATTGAGAAACAGCTCACTGTCATGCAAAATAATTAATATTGAACTCGACACACACTAAATGATGATGTAATCAAACAATGTAAGTTATTACACACAGAAATCACAATAACGTGATGCATCAAATGAACAAATCCACAAGAGCCGTGACGAGGATTCGAGTGCATGGGGGAGTTATGCCAGGTTTGTGTCTCGGAGAGGCTGCGGGATCCAGTAAGTTCAGTAGAACTTCGGTTTCAACTCTTTTACCATGTTGTAGCTCAGTCGATTAAGGCAGCGTCTGGGATGCTCCCGGACGCAGGTTCGAATCCTCGTCACGGCCCTTGTGGATTTGTTCAATATAAGTTATTGCTGATACCTGGTTGATACCTGGTTGATGGGGTTCTGGGAGTTCTTCTACTCCCCAAGCCCGGCCCGAGGCCAGGCTCGACTTGTGAGTAACGTGCTCTGCCAACTACTGACACCATTTTGATCTTTAAAATATTGTAAACATGCATTTGCAATAATTATTTTTATTTAAAACTAGTATTTGTGACCAAAGCTACAGAATCTAAAGTACAGTATATAAACTCATCATACATATTCAGATTAATAGTAACTCACATCTGCTAATGTCCTGTATGCTAATAAAATAATAAATTATAAATGTAAGTATGTGACCATGTGTATTATTTTAGAGTAGGCTATAAGTATTTGTAGTTATATATCTGTTAATTATAAACTCAAGTTCATATTTCATTGTATATATATAGTATTATTAATACCAAGTTAATAACTTGACTTTATTACATAACCACTTTTGTTCACTCCCTTTCCCTTGCCTACAGGTGACCACCATGAATACTTTGCCATTGATGCCAATGGGGTTGTGTCGGTAAGAGACGGTGCCCTCTTGGACCGAGAAAGTTTGGACTCGGTGGTGCTGCGGGTAGTCGCAACAGATGATGCTCCAGAGAATTACCGACGCCAGTCATCTGTCCCGGTTAGTGTAGAATCTTGATGAACCTTTTCATAGGTTATTTAAAGTCTATCATATATAGTAAATACTTGCATTAATCCAGTCAAATGAAAAATCGGATGCAATTGAAAATTGTTGGTAAATTTGGCGTCTGATGAAACAGATTTGGTGTCTGGACAATAAAGATATTCCTGCTAATCTAGTTTTGTGATTCTGGATTCGAGCCTGGCCTCAGGCTGGGCACAGGGAGTAGATAAACTACTGAAACCCTCTCCAGGTATGGTCCAGGAATGATAAGTATGAAGAATTTCAGCAGTTACATTTTTTGGGGGGAACCCATTGTGGCTATACAGTGCTAAACTACTAGGTGCTATCAGTCACAGAGTTCTTTCAGGCCTACTGGGACCACGAGCCAGAACCTGGGCTCCTCTAAAGAGGCAGAGAGAGCAGTGGCACTATGTTCAAATTGTCAGTGAATTTTACTCACGGTGATATGAAAGAGGTGATATGATTACCACTTACAAAATATTAACAGAAATCAACCAAATTGACAAAGGAATTCCTGAAACCAGCAACTTCACGAACAAGAGGACACAGATTCAGTTAAGAAAACAAAGGTGTTGAAAAAATATTAGAAAATTTTCTTTTGCAAACAGAGTGGTAGATGGTTGAAACAAACTAAATGAGAAGGTGGTGGAGGGCAAAACCGTCAGTAGTTTCAGAGCATTATAGAGGGAAATGTGGGAAGACGAAACACCATGAGCGTAGCTCTCATCCAGTAACTAGGGTAATTACTAGCTATGTGATTCTAAAAGCAATGCTTTCTTGGATTCAACTGAATCTAAGGATGCAGTATGTCTATTAACTGATGTATTTTACAATATTACAATATGTATTTTATTATATTAAATTTCTACTGACATATACCAGATTTCTTATCATATGATGATAAACCGTATCATCACAATCGACTTGAGAATGGTCCAGAACGGACCGAAACGTCGTCGTTCCTTCTCTTTCTAGTGTGTGGCCTGGTCAGCATACTTCAGCCACGTTATTGTGACTCTTTGCCTACATACCATATCTCTTTCTTTTCCAGCTTCACATCACCATCTCTGATGTAAACGACCATGGCCCTACCTTCAGCCAGGGGTCGTACTCTGCCAGTGTTGTTGAGAACCTTCCTTTGGACCCACCAGCTCCTATTGTCCAGGTCACTGCTCATGATGCTGATGAAGGGATTAATGCTCTAGTCAAATACTTCATCACCAAGGGTAATGACCAAGGTCAGTACAAACTTGCATATTGTGTTAACCTTTGTGTCATGTGTTTTGTTTATCTAAGTTTAGATTTATTATGTGGTCATTATGTGGTAACAACATAATAACCAATTTCTCTCTTTTCTCTCTAAATTTCTCGCTCCAGCAGTGCCCAATGACCATATGCATTTTCTTGACATGTGTGATATTTTTCTCCTATGCTGAGAAACCTTTGAATCTAGCACCTTACTACTATGCTAGTCCTTGTTATGCTTCTGTAAATTTTGTGACAGACTGCAGTCTCAAAGTTTTGACCATTTATTTTTTTCAGTGTTACAGTATTATAATTCCATGACTTGTAATATTTAAATTACAGGATCATTCTGGCTGGATCCAGAGACAGGGATTCTATATCCAGCTCGGTCTCTTCTGGCCACTCCCAGCAACTATAACCTCACCATAGTGGCAAAGGACCTTAACGGCACAGGTAATGATTGTCATGTATTTGTAGGTAATGCATTACAATACACACAGAAATCACAATAGCGTGATGCATCAAATGAACAAATCCACAAGGGCATGTCGTAGCTCAGTCGATTAAGGCAGTGTCTGGGATGCTCCTGGACGTAGGTTTGAATCCTCATCACAGCCCTTGTGGATTTGTTCATGCATTACAGTAATATAGCAGTCCATCATAATGAGTCTTTACAAGATCTTCATCAATTATTTGATAACTTATTGTGTTGATTTGTTAATTAGATGGGTTGAAGCATGAAGTTAAACATTTATAGCCATGTTCACTTCCATGTAATTCTTCCTTTTCTTGTTCCTGTCGTTGCCTTCCTGTTATGGTGCAGATTTCTTCTGGTCTTCTGTCCCCTTTTCCCATCTTCATTACCTTGGACTTGTTGCGGTTGAACCAGACCCCAGAGTGGGATCCCTCCCACTCTGATTTCTCTCTGACTATGACTGTTTCCTTTCTCTCAGGTAGCTGGAGAAATTACTGACCTAGGGAATATGTAAAGATCCTTTACTGCTAGAATCCACTCTATAAAACATCTAAATTATTGGGACCAATTAAAATGTTTAAATCTGTATTTTTTAGAGTTCAGGCAAAAAGAGATGTCTCATAATTTACAACTGGAAAATATTAAGAGGGACAGGTTCCAAATCTGCACATGGAAATAACCTCACATGAGATCAGGAAGCATGGGCAGGATGTGTAAAATAACCCCATTGAATAGTAGAGGTGCAATAGATACACTGAGAGAACTCTATCAACATCAAAGGCCCAAAAAGTTTCAGCACACTTCCTCTACACATAAGGGACATAACTGGCTGGACTCCACAGTGTTCAATAGAGAATGTGATAAACACCTCTAAAGGATACCTGATTGGCCAGGCTATGATTCATGTCATGCTGCAAGCAGTTGCTTCTAAGAGCCTGGTTGACCAGACCACCAACCAGGAGGCCTGGTCAGAGACTGGGCCGCGGGGACGTTGATCCTTAGAATTATCACAAGATTCATACTCCCATACCCAATTTAACAATTTATATATAGTATAAAACATTAATTTATTACACAGAAAATACAATGAATAGTTGTAAATATGTATAAACCATAGCAAGTAAAAGTTCTTTAATCCATAATTATGTGTACTGTATTATCAAAATAAAATTAATTTGTGGTTCTGTATGTAAGATATGAAATTACTTTGTAATTCTACATGTAAAATATTAAATTTGTAACGTTCTTTCTCTCCTTTCATCCTGAAAGGTGAATTCAGTGACGAGACTGTAGTGGAGATCACAGTCTTGCCCCAGAATCAACACAAACCAAAATTTCTCTCTCCAGCGGTGCCCAACGCCACTGTGCCAGTCCAGGAGGTAAGTCCACATGTGAGCCAAGTCCAGGCTGTAGATTATCATTACATGTTGACCATACCACACACTAGAAAGTGAAGGGACAATGAATTCCCAAAAATATTTAACATTCATAATATCAAATCCTGCTCTCTTACTGTTATTAATTTTATAGAATTGGAGTTCAGCCACGCAGGAAGTAGTAACGGTTGAGGCCGAGGATAAAGACTCTGGGGCAAATGGGGAGGTACGTTATCACTTGCGTGTGGGGGAAGAGAACATTCAGGACACACCAGAGTTCCACTTGGACCCCATCACTGGAGTGCTCACCACTAAACTGGTACTCGACAGAGAGAAGCAGCATAAGTATGAGGTGAGACATTATTTGCATCATCATATTTATTTATTTATTTATATACAAGAAGGTACATTTTGTTTATTATTGATTTGTAGCATATGAAACAAAGTTAAAATTTTAATATGATGATATGCATATAATTGTAATAAATGAAGGACAAATTTGGATGATATATATGCTGTAGATTGATATGATGCATCATGAGCATGTGATAAATACATTATATCATGCTAAAGTGTATATATCTATCTAACAACTCTTATAAGGAAAATTTGTATATACAACATTCTCTTAAATGAGCTACATTACATGTATACTAGTTGTCTTTTCTAGGATTTTTCATGCTTAATTTAGTGAGTGCATTTTGTGACAGTTGGTGCTCGTGGCCAAGGACCAAGGCTCGCCCATCTCTTACGAGACTCTGCGCTTCTTGACAGTACTGGTGGAAGATGTTAACGACAATCGTCCAGTTTTTCCTAAGAACAACATACCTCAAGCTTATCGTTTTAGTGTAATTGAAAACACTGCTAAACACACATTTATTGGTATGTAATAAGGAAAATAGTGGTGAATATATTTTGATGTAAATATGCTTGAAAGTATGTTTGAAGCTTATTACTATAATAGTGTACACATTATTTTGTAACAAAATAGCAAAGAAATCAAGGGAGTTATAATGTGAATGTGCTCTTTCAGTTACTTCAGGGTGTTTATAATTTCTCCATCGAAGTAAAGTAGAACAGCTTGCAACTTTTCTGCTTACATAGTATTTTGGTAGAAATCTAATTGTTAATATTAGTGAACCAAAAACCCATTAAATATTAGGTTTTATGTACATGTACATCTTTAGATTATAAATATATTAATACAGCGAGGAATTTAGTGCTTTAGAAACGAATTAAATATATAGAAAAGCTTACCAGTACTGTATTTATGAGACACCTCACTGATTAACCTTCTGATACAGGTCAACTTGTGGCTGAAGATCCTGATGCAGGAATCAATGCCAAGATTTTCTATTACTTGGTTTCTGGCAATGCCCACGAGAGCTTTTATCTGGACAAACTTCACGGTAAAGTTTACACTAATGCTGTTCTCGACCGCGAGCAGAGGTCTTCTTACACTCTTGTGGTCAAAGCCACTAATGATCCTAACTTTATGTTAGACCCTGACCAAGAGGTTGTATATGATGAAAATGATCCAACATTGGCCATCATCACTATCAACATTGAAGATGAAAATGATACGCCGCCACGATTTATTCATGAAGCTTACTATGCAGGTTAGTTACAGTTCAGCATTGTTCTGTGCTCCATGTCCGGTACATAATTCGGTGACATTATTGTGACGGGTGTGCTGTATTCTAGAAATTTGTATGTAATTTCTCTCCTGCAGGAGTGTCATATGAAGCTGAAGTTGATAGATTTGTGAGAATGGTGAAGGCTGTGGATGGGGATGCTGGCCTTAATGGAACTCTCACCTACTCCATCAGAGCATCCAATCTTTTCAGACCTGGTGAGTGCTTGCAAGTTGGGAAAATTAACTTTCAGCCCCTCCTCTTGTCTGTTCAGTATCTGGTACAACACTAAACTTTTCTTACGACTCTTATGTCTACTTTTAAAGAAGTACATTGATTAGCATGAACCACCTCTCCCTTCAATTTATTCCAAGATAGTACAGTGCTTCCTTACATCCGTCTGGTTCATTTGTTCTTCCACTTATCACCTTTTTGTTCTATTTCTCAAGTGCAACAGTCTGTCCTTTGCAGATAATTATCTGGACATTTTATGTTCCAGTTTTCAAATTCTCATGTCATGCAGGACATGTTTTTACTTTTCTATGTTAAGGACTGTACAGCAGCCAGAACATGTTGACAGTTACTTCTCACCATAGTGGAGCTTTTCTTCTACACTATCTGAGAGGGACACTTGGATGATACAGTACTGCTATATGGTGGTGGTTGTTGTAAGAGTAGGGTCATACAGCACAGGGTCATGTGTATCACATCATTCCCATTAACCTGGAAAAAACACTTAAGCCCAGAGGCTATATATTGCCAGTCGGCAGGAAAACAAAATTCTGTGCCTTATGATAGATAAATGCACTGAACGATAGGTGCTTGGTGACACACACAGGCATCGCTTGGGAAGGTGAGAGTCAGTACCCACTCCACACACACTGCTAACTGGAAGACTGTCTATTGAAACCCAATGACAGACAACAAAGAGCCAGGTGTCCAGTGGGTGGCTGAATAAAGTCAAAGCTAAATGGCTAAAACATGAGTGTCCCTATAATATCGGAACTTAAATGAGCAAAATTCACTGATGTCTTCCAGTGACCTTGAACAGAGTAGTAGCCAGCTGCCCACTACATGGACACCAGCTGATTGACAGTTGAGAGGCAAGACCAAAGAACCGAAGTTCAACCCCCGCAAGCATAACTAGGTGAGTACTGTACATCCAGGGAGCATACCAAAAGATCACCAAGACCCACCAACTCCAGGCACCTCTCGGTCAAGTTGGCACCAGACACCAACATGCCTCAAGAACCACCCAGAAAACTGACAGAAAAAAACTAACCTGTATTGACTTCCCTGTGAGTCCAGGCATCAAAAACCAGGCTGTTGAAGAGGAATGCCAGGCAGCAGTATCATGATCTAAAAGGGTAATAAATGTGGTCTATTAGCTGGTGGACCCCCAGGTGGAGCAGGTGTCAAAACCAAAGGTTTTTGACACTTGGATGTTCCTGTTCCTTCCCGAGTGCACCCTTTTTTTCTGGGTATCAAGAAGAAATTATTAAAAAAAGAACTCTAATAGGGAATGAGATACTGCCATCTGGTGGTAGCTGGGTAGTTGACCAGGCCCAATGAGTAGTGAGCCCATCTTTGGGGCATTTGTGATGCCAAGGGAGGCTTGATAAAGATGTTAAGATTTTGTTTTGACCTTTCTGGAGGTCTAGATTGAGTGTACTTCAGTGTTCTCTAATACCAGTACCCTGTATTACCCTCCAAGCTCAATTTGAAATGTTAAGAGTGGTGCCTATGTCACATTGTCACTGAGGATGCCAATGACCCCTGACCATATAATACAGTGAACCTTACCATAGAGAGAGCACCCAAGTGATCTGCTCAGAAAGTAGTTTTCCATAAACACACACAACCTTTATTTTATCAATTATACCAATGTGTTTAATTATGAGACTACTAGCTTTTTCCCTTATTCATCCTAAGAACTCTACAGTGGAGTAAATGAATTATTTGTATGCTGTTGACAGCTAGAAATTATAGTTATCTCTGCATATTTCAGGAGAAACCAGGGCTATTGGATCTATTATCCCGTCGCCTTTCAATGTCACTCAAGACGGCAAGCTCACCACAGCCTCTCTCATGTCGCAATATCGGCGTCACCGTTTCCTTCTCCAGTTACAAGCCAAGGAAGAAGCACCACCCTACCGCATTGCCATGTGCACTGTCAACGTAAGTGTCGATGATCATTATTTGCCTTTCTATTAGTTGTAATCAGGGATCATAATTATCTTATTTTCCACGTTCATGGGGTGGGGAGGCAACAGCCCACTTGATCATTCACCACATCATGCACACTATTTAGCTTCGTGGAGAAACTCCATCTATGCTTCAACAAATTAGGCGTAGCTTCACAAGAGTAGCTGTACAGTGCTCCTTGTGAGATATTCTTTATAGTACTAACGCAATTGCTTCCTCGCAATTTTTTCTATTGTCTTTTCTTCCTCTTGAGACTTGCATTAAGGAGCTTAGAAATAAAGTTTTCTGTATAAAGGCATTTCTGGGGGGAGCCCCTTGCACGTGGTTTCCCGAAGCTACACACTTGAGATGGTTCCCACCTGCCATTTGACATCAGCTGTGGAGTTCTATAGGCCTACCAAGGATCAGAACCAGACTTTCCTCACAGAGGTGCAGGGAGTGGTAACATTTCCCCACCTCACTAGGGAAGGCATCCACAAAATCAGCGCATCTAAACAAATCACTGCTGGGTTAAAAAAGACAAAGCCTTGAAACCCACTTACTGAACTTCCTTAACTACTGTATGAGCTTGTTTATCTGAAGCCGGTTCAACTGGATATTATGGGTTATCCAGCCAAAATAGTCTGGATAATTTTCTGCCTAACTTTCCTATATCTGGACAGAAATCCAGATAACCGGTAATTTGGCTGGATAACAAAGAATGACATCGGGAGACCTATGCTTACCAGAAAGCCAAAGGTCTTCAATCAGTGAAGCCTCAAAAGATAGTCAAAACTGATCTTACCAAGCTCATGTAGAGTAGTTTATGTTGTGCTGTGGTAGGTTAATAAATGATCATGAGTATAAAATAAAGAAATATATTGCCTAATACTGTATTATAACAAATATTAATTATTAAAAATTGCATATACAGGCTGTACAATGTCCCTGTTAAAATAGGGGATTTGCTTTCACCTGAATGAGAGCAGTGAAAGCAGTGATTTAACAGTCATCGTAGCAAAGTGGTAACACACTCGCCTGGCGCTTCGTGAGCGCTTTGGCCTGGGTTTGTATCCTGGCTGGGGAGGATTTACTGGGCACCATTCCTTAACTGTAGCCTCTGTTCTCCCAGCAGTGAATGGGTAGCTGGTTGTTAAACAATTTGGCGGGTCATATCTGGGGGGGAAATTAGGATTAAGTACTTGGTACTTGCCCGAAATGCTATGCGTGCTAGTGGCTGTACAAGAATGTAAGAACTCTTGTATTTATAAATAAATAAAAAAATAAAATAAATAAATAAATTAATTAATAAAATAAACCTATGTATCAGGGGACCCCATGTGTTTGTCAGGTGCTGCCTCCTGGTGGCAGTCAAGTGTAGCGGCCAGTTTATTAGAGCACAAATTGATGGTCTTTTGAATACAATCAGAGAGTACTGTCATAACATCAGGGGGTCAGTGGCCATTCAACACCCTCCCAGCAAGCATTAGAAATATTACTGAAACAAAGGTGGATGTCTTCAAGAGGCACTTGGACAAATTCTTGCAAGAAGTGCCAGACTAACCAGGCTGTAGTGGATGTGTGGGCCTGCGGGCTGCTTCAAGCATGATACTCTGTTTTCTGTCAAACAGAACACAAAGAGTAACAGTCAACCATATAAAATCGAGTCCAAGCTCGGTTAAAAGCTCTGTACCTTAGGGTACAGTCCTTGCACCACTGCTTTTCCTTATTCTCATATCAGATATAGACAAAAATACAAGTCACAGCTTCGTATCATCCTTTGCAGATGACTCAAAAATCAGCATGAAAATTACCTCTGCTTAAGACATTGAAAGACTTCAAGCAGATATTAATGAAGTTTTCGACTGGGCAACAGAAAATTATATTTAACAGTGATAAATTCAAGGTACTCAATTATGATAAAAATAATGATTTTAAACATAATACAGGGTACAAAATGCAATCAAATCTGCCCATAGTAGGAAAGCAACATATAAAGGATGTGGAAATAATGAAGTTTGATTACCTAACTTTTGGGGAGCATAACCAAGCAAATATTGTGTCAACCAGAAAAATTGATAGGATAGACTATGAGAATATTCAAATCCAGGGATCCCATCACAATGGCTGAACTAGTCAAATCACTTGTACTGTTCCAGTTTGAGTACTGCTCAGTACTCGCTTTCCCCTTCAGAGCAGGAGAGATTGCTGAAACAGAATGATGGTAATGTGTGTATTTATGTAATTTTGTAACAAGAAGTCTTTATTTTATTATTAGCAGTGTCTGTTTAATGAATGTTGCAATCAATAACATTTAAAATAATTTTTCACCCTGATCATAGGAATTTTCCCTATCTATATAATTCAAAATATGTTGATCAAAAGTTAAATGAATTATTTTTTCTTCACCAGGTGTGGGTTTGGGAGAGAGAAGACCTAGTGAGAGTTGTCTTGGCTCAACCTCCCGAAGAAGTTGTACACCATCAAGAGGACATCGCCGCAACTCTTTCACAGGTGCGTTGACATGTCAAGTTCCCTGAAATTCCAGTACCATAAGTGATTAACCCTTCCTGCCTTTATATATTTTACAAATTAAATGTTCCCTTGTTTGCTATTGGCATCCTGAATTGTTCCAGTGATTTCAAGGTTTTCCAATTAAAATTATTAATAAAGTAAATGATTATCTTAGGTTACTAAGGGAACAGCAGTCGTGGATGAAATTAGATACCATGTGAACCCCGACAATACTGTTAACCGTGAGAGGTGAGTACCATCATGTCTAGCAAATTTATGATATTTTAAATCTTAGTTACAGGTTGAATTTAAAACCAAATATTTATTTAATATTAATGGCTACATTCTTATTTATTTTTTCTTTACATTATTAAGTGATAATAGAATCCATATAATGTAAAAACCCAGCATTGAATGTAATGAAACGCCACTTTCTAGGTGAGCCTTGATGGCTCCCTGAATCTACTGTTACTGATAGTGTACCATCTACTAGATCACATCAGCCACAGAGTTCTATTGGCCTACCAGGAACCGGTACCAAAACCGGGCTTCCCTCACAGAGGTGCAGGGAGTAGTGGCATCTATGTATGTATTGATGCCACCACCCGGTAAGGCAACCAGGAAGTCAGCAAGATGAAACAAACCACTGCTGGCTTCAATAAAGAATGCAGCCTCAAGAACTGCCAAAAGAACTGTACAAAGAATGTAAATAAATTAACAAGATCTATTGATCAAACTACCAAAGGCTCGTTTGCCCCACTACCCCCACTTGTGTGGAGGGAAGGGGCGGGGGGAGAAGGAGGTAGCTCACAGCATCTCCACCCTTGGTTCTATAGTAGATGTAACCAAACCCACAACGACCTGGAGGGAGGGAGGGTGTTGGAGAGCCACTGGGGCTGACCCAGAAATTGGCATTTCATTACATTCAACACCAACTCTCTGGAGGGAGGGAATAAAAGGAGCCCCTTGTAGCTCCCTGAAGCTACTCCATGAACCCATGGAGAAGGAAAAGAAATGTATACTTACCAGGGAGGAGGAAGCACTGCAGGAATTAACACAAAGATGAGACACCGAGGCAAAATTGAAAGCACAAAGGTCCTGGCGGCAGAGTGCCGCCACCAGACACAGCATGTGATAAACTCTCAGCAGAACCAACCAAGCATCAATGACCAAAGAACCCCTCTGGAAGCCAGCCAACTCGTTTTTGCCAGAAAAGAAAGAGCCAGCATTAACCAAACAAACTGCCCACCAGGGCCAAATGAACAAAATTCCCACCTCCGGAGGAGAGAATGAAGCTCCCTACCCAACAACCGGAAGCCAGTGACATCAGTAGCCAGGATTTTAGGAAACAATCACAGACTGAAAGGGACACCATAAACCAAGAGGAAGAAATGTAAGAACGGCCCAAAGGCCAAGTGGGCACAGGCGGCCCGCTTGGGCTGCCTGTGCCTGCTTGGGCTGGCTGCACCTCAGTGAGAGAGTCAGGCTCTGGTTCCGGTCCCTGGGATGCCAATAGAACTCTGCGGCTGATGCAACCTAGTACAGTAGATGGTACACTATCAGTGATTGTAGATTCAGGGGGCTCCCCCCAGAAAAGGTACATCCAGTGAACCTGTTTGCATGACTCATTGTAAATATAGTTAATTATATATATATATATATATATATATATATATATATATATATATATATATATATATATATATATATATATATATATATATATATATATATATATATATATATATATATATATATATATATGTCGTACCTAGTAGCCAGAACGCACTTCTCTGCCTACTATGCACGGCCCGATTTGCCTAATAAGCCAAGTTTTCATGAATTAATATATTTTCTCAATTTTTTTTCTTATGAAATGATAAAGCTACCCATTTCATTATGTATGAGGTCAATTTTTTTTATTGGAGTTAAAATTAACGTAGATATATGACCGAACCTAACCAACCCTACCTAACCTAACCTAACGTATCTTTATAGGTTAGGTTAGGTAGCCGAAAAAGTTAGGTTAGGTTAGGTTAGGTAGGTTAGGTAGTCGAAAAAACATTAATTTATGAAAACTTGGCTTATTAGGCAAATCGGGCCTTGCATAGTAGGCCGGGAAGTGCGTTTTGGCTACTAGGTACGACATTATATATATATATATATATATATATTTATATATGTAGTACCTAGTAGCCAGAACGCACTTCTCAGCCTACTATGCAAGGCCCGATTTACCTAATAGGCCAAGTTTTCATGAATTAATTGTTTTTCGACTACCTAACCTACCTAACCTAACCTAACCTAACCTATAAAGATAGATTAGGTTAGGTTAGGTAGAGTTGGTTAGGTTCGGTCATATATCTACGTTAATTTTAACTCCAATAAAAAAAATTTGAAATCATACATAATGAAATGGGTAGCTTTATCATTTAATAAGAAAAAAATTAGAGAAAATATATTAATTCAGGAAAACTTGGCTTATTAGGCAAATCGGGCCTTGCATAGTAGGCTGAGAAGTGCGTTCTGGCTACTAGGTACGATATATATATATATATATATATATATATATATATATATATATATATATATATAATAAAATCAATAAATGTGTGTTGCAGAGCGGACATGTTGGTGCACGTGATGAACCACAGCGAGCAAGTGATGCCGGTACATGCTGTACTCAAGAGGCTGGATCAGGGATATGCTACACTTACCAATAATTCAAATACCTTCTTTATTGAAAATGTTTATGTATGTAATACACTTTAATTGATGAAAATATAATTTCCCAGTCTTGAGTGCTCAATTATATAACACATAAAACAAACAGAAGTACAATATGTATCAAAAGGTGCCAAGCCTTTAAGACAATTTAGTACAAATAATAGACAAGTACAGTACTGTAGTATAGTTTAAAAATTTATTAGATTAGGAAATATTTTTTCTTGATTTGAAATGTATATATTCCTATAAAATAATACCAGTACACATTTTATTGCAGCCAGCATCAGTTGAGACAGTCGAGGAGGAGGTGGATGCACGTTTGGCCGGTCTCATCGCTCTTATGATTGTGCTCTTCATCGGTTTCATCTCCTTCATTGTCGTCTGTTGTTGCCTCCGATACTGGTGAGTTCTTATTCAAGTCTTACTCATATTTGTACTAAATGCCACTTTTTTTTATTAATAATTCCCCCCCCCCAAAAAAAAAAAAATATATATGTACCTGTATTAGCATTGTGGGCTAGTTTTAGCTATAATTTGGATTGAATGGTAAATTTTCTGTTTATTAGAGGTAGAATTGAAGAATAAATTGATTCCTTTGAGAATAATAATTGTGCAAGCCAAATTTTGTATACTGTACTTTGAAGGTTTAATTCTTATTATGATCTTAGTTAATAAATTGACCCTGTTTGATATCGATCATATATTTGATGGTAGTAAAATGACTTAGATACTATGTAATCTGTATCATCTGCAAATTTGATTTTGTGGTTTGTGATTTTGTAATTTATGTTGCTTAATACAATTCTGCATTACAAAAATGGTTGGCTCTAAAGTTGAACATTGCAGTGCTCCACTCAGTAATTTTCCCGGGAAGATTCTCTTCCATTTAGGACAATCATTTACTTTTTGTTTTATCCATTCTAGTATTTTAACACATTATTTTCTTTTGTTGCACAAGTGCATAGAATAAGTGGAGGGATAGAAGATGTAGGTATGTGATGGATAAATATGCATTATAAGAGATGGATTAATATAATGCAAATGTAAGAGATTATATGTATATTTATAAGATTTTAAATTACTACATCTGGACATTTTGCTTGGCTATACTATTGCCTGATGTGATAAGACATGTAAAATATGATGGAATCCAAAGAATTTTGATTGGATTTTCAATATTTATTCATTATCCTCCAGGGTGATGACACCAAGTAGGTCTAGTGAGCATCTTATCAAGCGTAATATTGATGAAGATCTAGGACTGAACACCACTGAAAACCCACTTTGGGTTGACCAGTAAGTATGTTTTGTGTGGACTGATGTTCCCAGTACATGCTCAGTTGCATGTATGTATAGGAAAATGTAGCGAGTCGAACTTTACGTGAAGAGTGAACTCTTCACACTACTTCAGATAGTATCATTTAATATTGACAAACATAAAAATATTAAATATTTTCTGTTATAGTTAAATGTTCATATGTTTCGAAGGAGAATATTTCAGATTTTAAGTTACCCACCAAGATGTTGGTACAGTAAATTGTATATTGCTTTGAGCTTATTGTTTTCAAACCCAGATTAATTGAATTCATTACTGTACAGTATATGAATAATTTTAAGAATAGGTGAAAATTAATTTTTAAAATTTAATGTACTGCACATTATCTTATAATTAATGCTACTAAATTATTATACAGAGTTGATTGTCTTTATTACTGTCTACTAAGCATGAAATATAAAATAATTTAATTGCATTTATTGTATTGTAAGTGTTTTCTGTCTCAGTGATATGACTTTTCTAGGAAGCTCAAGATGTATGAAGAACAGGAGCTCACTATGCAAGTGATGAGCGAGTTTGACACGACACAGGTAAACGTTCCTCCCAACCCAAACAAGGGTCCAAATGTCACTGTAGATGCTGAATGGACTCCAGAACGTAGGTCAAGCATCGACTTATCACAGGTAAGGAGAGTTGTAGCTAATAGGTTAATATTGATACTTAGGATGGCTTCAGCAGAGTTACCAATTAGTACCAAAGATAGAAAATGTCAAATTTTATTGACATTTGTGATCTTAACATTTTATCAACATTTTTGTGATCTTTAGCATTTATTTACATTGATCCATAGAGTTCTGGCAATTACATGCACATAATGTTGAATTGCTAATAGGCAGGAATTGAATACACATACTCTGCATATTGTTATTTTGTATATTATTATTTTATTTACATGTTATTTTACGTATAAATTATTCTTTGGTCGATAAATTAAATTTAAAGATTACATTGATTTTGTTGTAGTAATGTTGCATTTAATTTTAATTGCAAAAATATTCATCAGTTGGATGGCCAAAGCAACACATACGCAACAATCCAGAAGTCTCACGGAGGAACGCTGCGGTCGCTACAGCTTCGTGGATTGCAGCAGGGTACACTAAAGCTGGGAGAGGATCCTGGAGAAAGTAATGATTATGCTACCCTAGACCATCTTCATCGTCCAATACCAGGCCAGGGTCCAAGAGTCCCTGGGGTGGAGACACCCAGATCCCCAATGAATCAGGTACACATCGACTCGTAAAAGTTATCGTAATAAAATTAAGTTTAAACTTATCGTGGAAAGTCAAAATATTTAGTTAGGGAGGCTGAAGTAGTTTTTATAGAGAGAGGGACTCATGGGAACAACCTAGCATATAAATGAAAGATTTGGTGTTGCAAGGGAAGCAGGGTTGTGGTATACTTTCATGGTTGTCTAGAATGTCCATGAACAAGGCTATTCATTTATTAATATTGAATTCATTTCATCATTACTCAGTTTTCCACTTTCAATGGGTTGGGGGAAGTTTGCAAGGAAAAGCCACATGCAGTATATGAGAAGATGGTGAAAAATATTCAAAATGGCACAATCCATTCAGCACATTTTCCACACTAAACAGCAGCATGGAGAGCCGAAATTGCCATATTCCAGTACTGTACATCTATAGGAGCACTACTTCACATTTTTTAGGGCTCCTCCTAAATTGTGAAGGTATTTACATGTTAAAACACTTATTATTTTCACTTGGCCTTTGTTCCCTGTCAATTGTTAAAGAAACAATTATCATTTTCTCTCACTGACACACTCGCTATGTCTGTGTATTTAATTGGCCTTCCTTTCCTCAGGTTCTCTTGATACACACTTCAACATTATGATTTAGATACTTCAGCTCTCCAGTTTTTCCATGATATTTTCATTCCTAATTTAAATTAGAAATGTATTCATAAAATTAATATACATATGTACATAAAATATAATTTGTGTTCATATTTAGAGAGAGATTCAAGAGTTGTGGTGTTGCTGCTCAGTATGGAACTGGACTTATGAACCAGTCTGTAAAAGGTGTATATATGTATACTGGACTGTATAATAATTTTGAAGACAATTCATATTTCAAAGGTGTGATAATTAAAAGAAGTAAAGTGTGGGCGATGAGATGCCACACTTAAAATGAGATAATTGATATGGGATGCATGAATATGAGTATTGAAGAAATGGATATGGGATAAATGAGATAATGTATATAGAAATAATCGTCTTCTTACTCTTGGGCGAAATAAATGTGACACTGTTGTGCTGGACTATATGGCAGAGGGTGCAGAGGAGTCATTTAGTGGTTGAAGTCATGTAGGAATAAACAGTTGTGGAGGACTTTGTAGTATCCGGCATGCTGGGGATAGTAGTAATCCCTTATATGTAACTAATATATATAATTGATTAAATATGTAATTACTTTCCATTTTCTCAGAATGGTGATTACCATGAACTAAGAACATCTTTCACTGGATCAACCTTCCAGCCGCCTGACCTAGCTAATCGGCCACTTCCTGATGAACCAACCGTCATCCATCCAAACTCGCGTAACCTTGCATTTAATGCTCAAGGAGAACCAGTGCTTGTTGCAGAACTGATATAAGCATTATTGAAAATTATGCCAATGTTATTTTTATAGTAAAGTATATATTAACTATTAAACTGCAAGTCACAATCAGGGATGTATTAAAGTACTGTACTGTGCAAGATTTAAAACTCCAGCAAGTACATGGAACTCGCATCTGCTTCCTCAGGCCTCCAGCAAACTGATACCATCTTGGAAAGAAAATTGTAGGCACTCCTCCTGGGTGTGAGGGCCTCAGTACTAAGACAGCAGCCATGAGCAGCAGCAGCAACACTTCCATACAACTCATGCCCACAGCATCACTTAATGGTGAAATAAATAACAATACCCCAACAGTGATGAAGATTATGTACAAGGTTCAGATATCAGTTTGCCCAATGCTGATGACGATATTCACAGCACAAAGCAGACTCCCACAGAACACACCTTGGAATCTTGGTTCTTTATTTTCCGTGTTTGGAAACACGTAAATTTATTTGTTGTGTTTCCATGAACACAACAGGCCTCGTATTCCTTTAGAAAACATGTGAAGAAAAAATTGGGTTTCAGTGACCAGGATTTCAATGATAATAGCAGTGTTGTGGCTAGAGTTAGCAATGGGTGTATACTACATACAGTGCAAGACAATAATCTGCTTTGTCAGGTGCTGTCGGCAACTGACTAATGTCTGGTGCAATGTTGTGCTTGGATCAATGGTTGTGAGATTATCACGCTCACCAGAACTTCTTAGTGGTCCATAATGGTGTATAAAAAATATAGTTATATATATATATATATAATGTGTATAGTGTAATAAGATTTTGCTGTTTGATTGTTCAAAAGACTATAATTTTGTGTGCAGATTAATGATGCAAATATATCTATGCCTATGTATGTTCTTCATGTCCTGTGATATAACATTATTGACAGCCCAGTGCATCATTGCACTAAAAAAAAAAAAAGTAAAAGCATTAAAAATAAGAAAATATAATACAGTATATTCTATGTGTGCAGTTGCTACTTCGTGCAAAATATGTGAGGCCAGGCTAAACTTGCATCACTGGTTTCAAGATTATCGAGTGCACTAGAACTGCTTAGTGGTTCATAATGGTGCATAAAATGTAGATAAATATTGTGTGTATACGATGCAAAAATTATATGTTTTATTGCACTAAGAATATTTAGTGACATGGACATATTTGAGTATACCGATGTTCCACGCACTTTATTCTATATTACTACTGAATAACAGTATTGTAAAGAAACAAGAAAATTGAAATACATCAAGATATCTTCGTGGCATCTCCCACCCTTGACCTCCACAGGGCAACTGTTCCACGGGTGCTTTTGAATCATGACATCATTGTGGGATTTCCTCACTCCACCATGGCCAATTTAGTTTTTTAATATTGTTAAAATGATTGCAGGAAATTTGAAGAGTAACAGCAAAATTTCAGATTTTTTTTTTTTACCTACACTAAGGTTGTCATAGAAATTTGAATGTGCAGCCCAAGGTTAAGGTAATGTACATAGTGTTTTACCTTTTATAGTATAAATGTTAATTTTACCAGAGAAATTTATAAGATTGTGATAACATCCAGCATGGGGAGAATAAGTCACAATAACCGGTGAAAACAAGTAACCCAACTCGCACACGTGAAATGACAGTGACAGCATTTCGGTCCGTCATGGACCCTTATCAAGTTATAAATAAGGTTATAGTGAACCAAAATGTCATTACTAATTTCATTTAATACGGGCTCACCATAGCCCGTGTTACTTGGAACTTTGTTCCAGGTAGCGAATCTTTAACAACAACAACAACAACAATGTGCAGTTGGGTTATATGTTTATGGGGCCTAGCCACAAACATGCATAAACATAGTAAATACGGTATTCAATTTTCAATAATTGTAACAAATTAAGATTTCACAAATGGCTGAATGATTGAGGTAATGAGTGTATAGTAGTTTGCATGTTGCCCAATATATAATGCAAATTTATTAAAATATTTAAATTTAGGAATGTTAATTTTTGCCATAAATATCTTGTATAATATTTGAACATAACAATCAGAAAAGCTGTCACAGTGCAAAGATGGTAGCAACATTTCCATATTTCATAAATTGTGTAAGATTTTTTTTATATATACAGTGGTATCTTCGTTTTCGTAGTTAATCCATTCCCATAGAGGGTATGAAAACTGAAATGAATTTTCCCACAAGAAATAATGTAAATTGAATTAATATTTTTGGTGTGGAACGGATTAACTAAAAAATACATATTTTACAGAAAACTACTTATAGGTACCTTAACTTTATGGAGGACTTTTGTTGGTGTATGGAAGACAGTGAGGAGGGGAGGAGGAGAGGTGTTAGTGTTTGGAAGGGAGTCCCCTTCTACTATAACATCAGGCAGTGATGACATTTCTGCGTACACTTACGTTTTGCAGGCATACCACTAGGACTTGGTTGTGGCTCACTGCTTGCTTGTCTTACTAAGAATCTGTCTACAGACACTTGTTTTTCCCTACATTTTAACACATGTCTGTAGCGAGATATCACATTGTCTCACTATGAATGATCTCTTGTTTTTCCTCTATCCTCACAACTATTTTCTTAGGTTGAACATTACCACTGACTTTCTTGGAACCCATGGTGTGATATATAATAACTTTTTTGTTTAGAAGTAAAAAAAGCACAAAAACAATGAAATTCTTCACAAAGAATCCAAGCGCGATCCTCATTTGGCAGGAGACTTGACATTTTTTATGCTTAAGCCATTGTGCCAACACAGTGTGTAGACCCACAATAATGTTAAACATCTGCCATGTTTACTTTTGGGAATGTGACAAAAATATAGATGGCTGCACGAATAGGTGCATTTACAAAATTTACACAAATATTGATTACCTTTTGTGAAGTGTTGGCCTTCAAATGTGCATATAAACAAGATACTGACATTGGCATATTTTGCTTCCTTGGTGAACTATAAAGCAAAGGTAAATTTAACAACATAACACATTTTGTAAGCTGATACAAATAGTCAAAATATTAATCTAGTTAAGAATAAATAAATTTATACTTTTTTTTTACCAGAATCACTTTTACTACAACACATTTTGGATGTCTGACATTCTGGGGCCATGGCCAAAGTCACTGAAAATGTTGAAACACACACGGATTCCTGCATTTCAGTGGTAAAATATTGGGATGTAGTTATTATACACATTTAATTGTACACATCCAAAGGCAGGTTCTATGTATACAATAATCATTTATACATAATATATATACTTGTGTATAGCATTGTAAACTAATGCATCACTTGCTGTACAAAAGGAGCATTTGGAAAATGTACCAGTACTTCAAATTGAGATGAGACTATACTGTACAGTATTTACTTTTAAATGCTTAACTTAGGGGTATTACAGAAATAAATATTTTATTCCTGCTTATGGCTTCACTCATTTTGTACATATCATTATCATTAATTTAAAAATATTAACATATAGAACTACACAAGTCATAAGAATGAAAAATACATTAAATTCTCACCTAATACAAGATTATTTATTTTGTATCTAAATCACCGAGTTTTATCAGAATTTCTGGTAACTTATGAAGATGCATGTTGGATGAAGAATGAATGCATTTCCAGATTTTCTATCTTGGATACTTGGAGAAGTTTCTTAGTTGTATTATGTATAGAAGATTACAATTAATAAAAGATTTCATGTATTTACTGCATCTCATATGGTCAGTTATGTTAAAGTCAGGTGATGTTTACTGATATTTTTCACTGTTAAATAATAGCCATGTAAATGTGCCTAATGATCATTCTACCTTGTATAATACTTATAATATGTTGTAATTAGTGCAATTAACTCCCTAATAAAATATGAAAGTAAAATACCTTACATACGTTCCCCCGAAGATTATTTTTCCTTCGAATATTTACTACAGTATATGGGTATTATACAATGAGTAAGCAAGTCCACTACAGGCTCACCATAGTCTGTGCTACTTGGAACTATTGTTCCGAGTAGAACAATAGTTAAAAACATAGTAAGCAGTTATCAAAAGAAGGCACAAAGCCAGGGAGATTATGTAGCACCATACGTGTCCTTGGATATTCAAAAAGATGCTAAATATCACTGAGGATGCCAGTACAAGTACAATAGGCAAACAATATCTAAGGAATCAAATTTACCAAGGATTCATCAAGGGACGAGGGACAGTTTGGAAGCAAGACACGAATGTCCTGAAAATTAGGACATTCAACAAGGATATGCATGACTAAGAGGGATAAGGCAGTTCGGACAATAAGTAGCATGGCAGTGCTCAATTAAGTGCCTGCGAGTTAAATGTGTATGGCCAATACGTAAACTCGCCAGAGCCGTTTCCCACTGCAGGTCATGGTGGTAAGAGGAAGGCCATTGGGGACACACTACCTTTAAGAGCACGCAGTTTACCAGTAACAGAGGATCAATGAACCTGCCACGGACAATTATCGAGGGATGAATGGCAGAATAAAAATCGGAATACGGAATACCTTTTTTGGAAAAAAGGACAAGCGAGGGTAGTCTCCTTAGCGTCAGGATCTGTATGCTCATTTGAAGGAATACCAATTTGGCTGGGAGCCCAGCAGAACTTGACTTGCTCAAAACAACTAGAGAAAATGGCCAGTATTGGATTTTGACAACCACACGATGCATATGATTAAATGACTAGAGCCCGACCACACTGATGATGGAAAAGGAATTGATGGAGACCATACAATATTCCAAAAAGTTCAGCTGTAAAGATGCAACTCTTATTCAGAAAAGGTCTGCTCGTGAAGCTTATTATTCTTGAAGTAAATGTTATTTTTCTGGGTCTAAGAAAATGGTTGGCGTGTCTGATGCCTTTATCTCTCGACTTTTGTCCCTATATTCACCGGTGGGGAGGACTGGGGGATGGTGGGGGAGGAAAAGGTGAGTAGGGGATGATGGGGGAGGACGAGGGTTGCTGTAGATGAGCCACGGTACAACGTGCCGGGTACAGCTGGTTTGTATAATAAACAAGTTTTAAATTGTACCGACAGCTTCGGCGTTTCCATGCGTATAAACCCTTTGGGGGTGAAGTCTCACGCTTAAAGCAGTCGTCTCCTTTTATGCGCTAAACTGGACCTCTGAGTTCATACAAAATACTGAAGTTGGAGGAAAAGATCAGACTTGTGGCTCTCAAACTTAGAAACTTAAATTTGTAAATATAAAAACTATATTCTTTTCCATTCTTTGATACAGAAGTCCAGAGTGATACACCATGGACAATGGACCTGGACAAGTTGTAGGAATGGTCGAACAAATGGCTGTTAGAGTTTAATCCAAGCAAATGTAATGTAATGAAGATAGGGGTAGGAAGCAGGAGACCAGATACAAGGTATCACTTGGGAGATGAAATACTTCAAGAGTCCGAGAGAGAAAGACCTGGGGGTTGATATCACGCCAGACCTGTCCCCTGATGCTCATATCAAGAGGATAACAGCAGCAGCATATGCCAGGTTGGCTAACATAAGAACGGCCTTTAGAAACTTGTGTAAGGAATCTTTCAGAACATTATATACCACATATGTCAGACCAATCCTGGAGTATGCGGCACCAGCATGGAGTCCATATCTAGTCAAGCATAAGACTAAAATGGAAAAGGTTCAAAGGTTTGCCACCAGACTAGTACCCGTGCTAAGAGGTATGAGCTACGAGGAGAGACTACGGGAATTAAACCTCACTTCATTGGAAGTGAGAAGAGTTAGAGGGGACATGATCACCACATTCAAGATCCTCAAGGGAATTGACAGGGTTGATAAAGACAGGCTGTTTAACACAAGGGGCACACGCACTAGGGGACACAGGTGGAAACTGAGTGCCCAAATGAGCCACAGAGATATTAGAAAGAACTTTTTTAGTGTCAAGAGTGGTTGACAAATGGAATGCATTAGGAAGTGATGTGGTGGAGGCTGACTCCATACACAGTTTCAAGTGTAGATATGATAGAGCCCAATAGGCTCAGGAACCTGTACACCTGTTGATTGACAGTCGAGAGGCGGGACCAAAGAGCCAGAGCTCAACCCCCGCAAGCACAACTAGGTGAGTACAACTAGGCGAGTACCAGTAAATGACCTCGATAGGAATAGTTTGAAAAGTTATTTTTTCCTACTGCCACTTATCCAAGATTGAATGGTCAAGCAAAATAAAAAATAAAGTGGCAGACAAGTCTGACAGCGTTCTTCCGGTGTTGTAATCCACAAGTTAGTAGGGATTATTAGCTAGAGGATCATTACTACAACATTTAACATGTACTTCCAATCATCATTCGTTAAGTAGACAGACTATGGATCACATATCCAAGGAAGGTCAAAGGGATTAAGACCGCAGCTGTTAGCCAAACTAATAATTCCTGGGAAGAGGATTCGGGCTTCTAGGAACAAGGTTACAGCTTCTAGGGATAAGGTTAATCGGATTATACCTTCCTTGAGAGGCGTGGTGAAATGTTTGAGGCCATGGCTGACTGGAGGCAGTCTTGTTGTGGGAGTGGGACTGGCAAGTCCTCCGAGGTCTCCGTTTGTGGCAGCAGCGAAGTGTAGCAGACAGCTATGCGAGAGCCTGATGTGATCTTAGTGACCAAGTTAAGTCTGCAGTATGTGAGTATTGAATGAAAGACTAACCGGGTGTGGAGCGTTGTAGTAATTATTCCGTATTAGGGACTTAGGCGGAAGTTACGAGAGCAAGTGGTGACCGCGGAGGTCAAGTGGTCTATGGGTATTGGAAGTGTATTTACCTAATAGAGTATGTTAATATTATTATTTGTCAGAGTATTCTTGGTAATTAAATGACAAAATCTGAGAGCAGCAGTACACCGAGAACTTCAACAAGATCTTGTAGATCTGAGGCAAAGTGAAATTGACACCAGTAATTCCATCTATCATCATACTATCATGCAAGAGGAGCCACACATCTATGGATCATCCAATAAAATCAGCAGACTTCTAGATGTTACTACTGCTCGGCTTAGACTCTGTTACAAGTATCTCTGGGAATTCTCATTATCTGCTGATGTAGACCTGACCAAATGTAAACTGTGTAAACAAAATTATTCGCACACCCTCCATCACTATGTGATGGAGTGCGAAAAGATACGTGAATTTAGAGAATTCTATAACCAATGTTCCAGCGATGTGTCAATATTTCATTCAAAATGATCTGCTATCAGAAATTTTAGCCAAATATCCCCAGTTTGCTAACTGTAGGTAGTAACTAAGTTTGATTGTAACCTATCCACCGCTGCCCACTGGATGGGTGGGGTGGGGGGGGGGGGGCGGTGTGCAGGACAAACAAATTTTGACACTAGCTCTCCACATATGTCAGTTGCTTAATTTAGAACCTGTACTTGAGGTCGATCTCGAACCCATTGTTGATGTGATGACATAATGAATTTTGTAACTAGCTCATCAAGATTGTAACTTGCTTAGCTAAATGAATTGTGGGGTTCAGTCCCTGAGCCCATTATGTGCCTCTGTAACCCTTTCCACTACAGCCCACAAGATGGGTATGGGGTGCATAATAAATGAACTAAACTAACGCGGTGACAGGCTGTGTCGTGGCACTATGGCGTTGTTATAGAGGTTTTTCAGTACCCCGAGACTGTCCTCTTTGCCTTACCTGTTGTCTGGCTATGGTCGCCCGAGCCTGGGGACGAGAGGGGGAAGAATTAATATTTATATATTAAATTTATTATTGTGATAGCTGTAAGAAGTCTAAAAGTTGTTTAAGCCCTCACGAGTAACCAGCGCTTAAATTTACCAAAAACTCTTATGTTATGACCGAGCTGTGACAAATTTATAAAAGTAAAACAAGCCATACTGACCGAGACCAGTTAGTGGTCAGTGTACCCGGATGACGGCCTCCGGGTCGTCGCGCCCCGCTCCTCCACGTGACCTGGATCTCACCTAAAATTTAATTTTGTAGTTTTAGACAATTTCTTAACTATTTAGTAAACATCATTGGTCCAGCAGGATAACTATATTCCATGTTTAATGCACATGTATTTCAATGTCTAACTGTTAAACACCAAGACGTAAACTTACTTTTGGCGATAACGCTCCTTATGAAGTTTCCCTTGTCTGATGAAGTAGCTGGAAGCCTCTGACAAGACTAGGTAGTAAGAGTGATCCCAGCTGTAGGCATTTTCACGCACCATGAGAAACTTTTTTCCCAGCCGTGGTTTCATGTATCTGAAACCATTAGAAAATTAAATTAATCTAATTAAATTTCATACAAGGAGACCAAATAAGAGCCATGATACCGAGTAACCTGCATCTTGTGTACTCCCAGCACATACCAGTCTAATCTATAGGATTTACAGTAAATCAAAACTAGAACATTTTACTTACCATGTTAAGAGGTACTCCACAGGATGGAGTTTGGAAGAGTTTGTGGCCTTTTAAGGCCGAGAGACTTAAGCTGGGGTCGAGGGGCGAATGGAAGCTGGGGCCATGTTAAGTGCAGGAAGGTGTTGGGAGAACAAGAGTGCCGCTTGAAGAGTGAACCGGTCGACGTAATATCAAACTGTCAAGAAACAGTTTGAAACCGGCAAGCGTCTTGGGGTAGAATTGTAGAGACTTTCACTGAAGGACAACTTTTGGGAAGCGAGATGCGAGACGAAAATTGGTGCAGACAACTGGTGTTGCTGTAGTGGTCCCAGGAGTCACCACTATTGTAAGCAACATTCTGGAATGTGAAATATAATACCAACACAAGACTAAAGTGCATTTAGTCAACCCTGGTGCAAAAATTGTTAAGGCAAGGCAACGTAAAAATATTGAATTTTACAGTTTTTGGTAAAAGATTACACTAAATTAAGCACTATTTGATTCAAATTAAATTAGAAGTTACCTCAAATTACGCTTAGCCAAGATATTTAGCATTTGTTAAGGGGAAGGGGGACGCAACAAGAGACAGGGAAGGGGAGGGGAGGGATGGGGAACGCAACAAGAGACAGGGGGGGGGGACGCAACAAGTGGGAGGGGAGGAAAGGGGGGACGCAACAAAGAGGGGAGGTGGGGAGGATCCTCACCATACAGCTCACCTTCGAGACGAAGCTGAACTGTATACTAAAAGTGAGGTAAAACACACTGAAGTGCATTTTGGCTCATCCTTCCTTTTATACCCAGCAGCCCACCAAACCCGGCCGCTGACTGGTTGACATTCACCCTAAAACCTCACCCCATTGGTTAACATTTTGCGAGTCTGAAGTGTCAATTATCAATGACCAACAGCCACTCCTTCACTTCCCCAAATACGAACAAGTCTCTAATGAACCAATAATGAACTTCAGCTTGAATGTTTTAAGTTGTTAATTTCAAAATCTAATTCACAAACCAAATACAACATTCTATTGTAAATGTTGCAACAGGTACAACAGAGCAACATTTGCAATAGTGAAGTTGTAAAGTAATAATGGTCCGTCAGTCAAGAACTGTTAATGGCCGCTCAACAACTACAATATGCAATAACAGACTAAGAAACCCAACAACCCAAAGTTCCTGACACAACACTCTATGATGTTAAATATTTCTTTCAATTGACTTGAGATATTGCTCGTTAATGACAAATTGAGTGATTTTAACTCATTATAAAGCATAAATGTTCACACTTCAATAACTATTAACGTCCAGGATGACATTGTTCAGAATATTATTCTGCACAAGTGGCGTTCTCTACAGTCACTTCGTGACGCCGGACGGGTCCTTGGCGCTCCTCTCGTCCTCAGAATAAGACTTCCCGTCACCTTCCTCGCTCTTCCTGTCTCCATCTCCCCAAGGTACTCCTCGAGCGCCTGGAGTAGAAATCCCAAGACGAATTTTATGGAATGTCAGGCGGTTCTCAGCTCCTTCCTACACGCCCTCTACAGCTCCAAACCTCTTCAGTTCTGCCTGTTAGAGCTGTATGTTTACCTTGAAATTTATAAAATTATAACTGTCTTATCGTAACCTCCGCCTCAGGCGACCACAGCCAGATAGTAAGGAAGGCAACTAAGACAGTCTCGGGGTACTAAAGAACATCAACAACGACGGGATAACATAACACAACATTGCCTCTCACCACGTCAAGTCTGTCGTGTGACACCAGCCTCTGATGTTGATGCCTCTCGTCAGTCTTGCCTCTCCAGTCTCCGTACTTAGGAACCTTTGACTTCAAGGAAAAAAGTGGTTATTCAACTGGACAAGGCTCTAGTGTGCTCCCTTTTTGGGGCTACTGTATCCAACCATGGAACCTCACCTTCAGAGGGTCACATCTGATTTGGAGAAAGTTCAAGACTTACAAAAATCATCCGAGAACTAAGTCGACTCTTGTACAGGAAACGGTTGAAGGCTACAGGACTAACAACACAGCAAACCAGACACGACAAGGCTGATCTAACCACGACCTATAAAATGCTGAGCAAGTTGGAGATTCAGTTAAATTAATTCAGACCCTGTCTTTAAAAGGTCAAACGTAACACATACAAGTGACAACAGCTTTAAGTTCAATAAGCCACAGTAAAACAGAATGCAGGATATATTTTTTTACCCATAGGGTTAAAAATCCGTGTGTGGAGATTTGCTTTTTAAACCGATTTACCTTGAATTGAAGAAGTTATAAGAGTGCTTTGCTCTGCCTCCCACACCTCCTTCCACTCATTAATATCCTAATATTAATTAGGATATTAATAACCTAATATTAATTAGGTTATATCATATCTGTCCTGCAGACAGATATGATATAACCTTACAACTCGTTAAATATATCCACTTACAGCACGCTTTAACAAGGCTCCTGGTTCTCATACAATTAGTTCATGGGGTAGTAAAGCAATAATAGACAATCAGCACTGACCTGATATTGGGGCCCTTGCCCCACTTCTAACTGCTCTCTGTTAAGGACTAAAGAAGGACACAGTTAAATTGGTCAACATAATTAATCAATGTTTACTTAAAAGAATGTGTGTACAAAGAACGTAAAAGTAATGTACAATTGTGGGGACAGGAGTTACACGCTCATGACACAAAGTGTTTCCCGCAAACAATCTCCCAATTTAGCTTCATATTTTGGAAGAGCAGAACGGAACGGAAATATTTGGTTGTTAACAGTCCTCGTGGCGTAGTGGTAAGACACTCGCTATCAAATAAATATCAAAACCACTAAACACTGTCTATCTAATCTAACCAAACAACGTAACATAATCATACGTTACAGATCGTATGATTATGTTATGATGAATGAACAGGTGCCATTAGGTGCAACCCGTCCTCGACTCAAGTCCATTACATCCAGCGGTCGCCCCCACAGACGTATTCATAAATTTTAACTTGCTGTTCATTCAAAACAAGAATTTTCTCAAATATAAATTAATATTATAATATATTAGCATATTGTGCATATATAGGCATAGGTTAGGTTAGGTTAGGTTAGGTATTTAGGTTCGGTTGGCGATTATTTGCATTTGTAGTACGTGGGTGAAGCATTTATAGCGATGTGGTTCGAACAAAACTCGTCAGTGAAGCACTTGTTCCGGAAGTGTTCGAACGAAATCAGTTGTGAGTCGTGTGTAAACCGCTTTTCATTCATAAACAGGGGGGTTGGCGGGTGGATGGAATCACTTTTGGATCTTTGTTTGGAGGACGGGCTGTTAGGTGATAGGGAGAGCGTCAAACCATTTCCATCCAGGTCGGGATTCGAACCCTGAATTTCCGATTGTGAGTCGAGAACGAACCCGACTCTACTACCGGGATAGCTTGTCACGATGCTATCGTACCACACAGCCATCAATTACTTGAGTTTTTAGGTATATATAAAATATATATCTAAACACTTTGTACTATGTGTTGTCTATGTAATACTTGTCAGCCAACAGTGACAAGTGTTACAGTTCCTAGGATATCCGGACTTGGATCATGGGTTCCAGGGATACCAAGACTTAGACTTTTGAACCGCATAAGCTATGAACAGTTTAAACAATTTGTGGCTAGGGATTTACAGCATTTCTCTATTTCAGGGCTTCGGGGTCTTAAGATTACCTCAAAATGCACCAGCCCGTCCTCCAAACAAAGATCCAAAAGTGATTCCATGCACCCGCCAAACCCCCTGTTTATGAATGAAAAGCGGTTTACACACGACTCACAACTGCTGACGTTCGAACATATCCGGAACAAGTGTTTCACTGACGAATTTTGTTCGAATCACAACGCTATAAATGCTTCACCCACGTACTACAAATACAAATAATCGCCAACAGAACCTAAACACCTAACCTAACCTATGCCTATATATGCACAATATGCTAATATATTATAATATTAATTTATACTTGAGAAAATTCCCGTTTTGAATGAACAGCATATTCAAATTTATGAATGCGTCTGTGGGGTTGACCGCTGGATGTAATGGACTTGAGTCGAGGACGGGTTGAATACACTCAACTTTGGCCATCCCAACTGCCCCTTATAGAACACCCGCTACCACTCCTCAGATAGGCTGCCTCATCTCTTCTTCTTCTCCGTCAGGCCCAAGATCTGACGGAAGTCATCGGGTTGATGAAACACCATCGGTGAGTTCGTCTCGAGCTTCTTGAGGAAGCGTTCACGAAGGTCAGGTGTAGAGACGAGGACCTGCCCGCCACCCTGAACCAGGGAACTGCAAGAATACAATGATCAAGCAATAATGTTGAACCTCTAACACCTTTAACTAAAAATAGCCTGTTGAACTTAAAATAGTCTAAACGGCATCAAAATTCTGGACAAAGCAATCTGAATTTATAACAAAATAGTTCTGACATTTGTAAGACTTTTGCTAAAATTCTTATAACTTTCAGATAAATTCTGTTGATCAAGCAGAAGAACTACAGGTGAGAACTGCTGTAATGTAGCCCGTGACCTAATTGATTCAAAGATCCAAGTCAACGTTGATATCATATCAGCTGTCAGGATCAGCACTGAACACAGGTGGGTGAGACTCACCTGTACCTGGAGTAGGGGACCCCCACCACAAACACCAGAGCACTGTAGTAAGGGAGTCTCCAGAGCCCGAAGTGGTGATCGCGGGCGTCAGCGTGCCATAGGTTCAGCGCCTGGGGACACAGTGCCGCGGTGAGTAGACAGTGCCAGGGGTGGGTGGACAGTGCCAGGGAGAGAGAGAGGACATTACAAAACCTATCATATCATCACTATTGCAACCCCAACGCTCATATGCCACATCATCAAGATAAGTTACCTGGGCCAGCATCCGGAAGGCCAGACTGTCCTCAGAGTCCAGCATCCTCACCCGCGCCACCCACACGCCCTCCTGTGGGCGGGGGAACACGTGTTACTACCAGGCCTACAGCAGCCCCTCCTGTGGGTGGGGGACTGGCCTGGTCGAGGGGGGGGGGGAGACCCACTTGAGCATGGAGGGACCCACCTGAGCATGGAGGGACCCACCTGAGCATGGAAGGACCCACCTGGGCATGGAGGGACCCACCTGAGCATGGAAGGACCCACCTGGGCATGGAGGGACCCACCTGAGCATGGGGGGATGCATCTAAGCATGGGGTGACCCACCTGAATATGGGGGGGGACCCACCTGAGCATGGAGGGACCCACCTGAGCACGGGGGACCCACCTGAGCATGGGGGGACCCACCTGAGCATGGGGGGACCCACCTGAGCATGGAGGGACCCACCTGAGCATGGGGGACCCACCTGAGCATGGAGGGACCCACCTGAACATGGGGGGACCCACCTGAACATGGGGGGACCCACCTGAGCATGGGGGGACCCACCTGAGCATGGAGGGACCCACCTGAGCATGGAGGGACCCACCTGAGCATGGAGGGACCCACCTGAGCATGGGGTGACCCACCTGAGCATGGAAGGACCCACCTGAGCATGGAGGGACCCACCTGAGCATGGAGGGACCCACCTGAGCATGGGGTGACCCACCTGAGCATGGGGTGACCCACCTGAGCATGGGGTGACCCACCTGAGCATGGAGGGGACCCACCTGAGCATGGGGGGACCCACCTGAACATGGGGGGACCCACCTGAGCATGGGGGGACCCACCTGAGCATGGGGGGACCCACCTGAGCATGGGGGGACCCACCTGAGCATGGGGGGACCCACCTGAGCATGGGGGGACCCACCTGAGCATGGGGGGACCCACCTGAGCATTGGGGGACCCACCTGAGCATGGGGGGACCCACCTGAGCATGGGGGGACCCACCTGAGCATGGGGTGACCCACCTGAGCATGGGGTGGCCCACCTGAGCATGGGGTGGCCCACCTGAACATGGGGGGGGGGACCCACCTGAGCATGGAGGGACCCACCTGAGCATGGGGTGACCCACCTGAGCATGGGGGGACCCACCTGAGCATGGGGAGACCCACCTGAGCATGGGGGACCTCGAGGTTGAGTGGGTCAGACACATCGAGGGGCTGCGCCTTCTTCAGCTCCTCCAGAATACTCTCCTCATAAGGCGTCTTCCTCACCCTGGAAGACAGGAGAGGCAGTGTTGGAGACGTTATGAGGTAGGGAGGGAGAGGAGACCTAATGAGAGGAGGAGGAGGAGTGGAGATAGAGACCTAAGTGAAGACGGAGGGAGGGTAAGAGTGTGGAAGAGACATAAGGAAAGGAGGAGCCCAACGGAAATGGAGTAAAATAGACCTAAAGAAAACGGAGAAAGGACAAGATGAGAGGAGGACGGGAGGACTTAGAGAAGGCCAGAGATAGAGAGGAAAAGAAGAGGAAGGGGAAAGTTTAAGGGGGAGGGGGGGAATCGGAGGGAAAGGGAGAGGGAAATCCCTGGGGAAAGTGAGGTGGAAACTTAATAGAAAGAGAGAGGGGAAACGATCTGTGAATTTGTGTAACGAGTAAATTCAACAATAAAAATTATTGTACACACGAGGTGAGGCAGGACAGGGCAGGGAAGGTGAGGCAGGGCAGACAACGTGAGGCAGGGCAGGTGAGGCAGGGCAGGTGAGGCAGGGCAGGTGAGGTGAGGCAGGGCAGGGCAGGTGAGGCAGGGCAGGGAAGGTGAGGCAGGACAGGCAAGGTGAGGCAGAACAGGGCAGGTGAGGCAGGGCAGGTGAGGCTGGTGCTCCAGCTAGGGCAGGAGACAGTATACTCACGCGGTGAGGTTGAGGGCAACATGGGCGCGGGTGGAGAGCGGGGTGTTGTGGTACCATGTGGTGACGTCACCGTCCATGTGGGCCCCCAACATGCCGCCGTGGGACGTCCTGGACACCTCCGGCAGCACCAGCTCCCGGGCCCCACGGACCAGCGGCGTCCCCATCCAGAAGTCCCAGTCAGCTGTCTGCAACAGAGCATTGCCTGAACAAATCCACAAGGGTCGTGACGAGGGTTTGAACCTACGTCCGAGAGGATCCCAGACGCTGCCTTAATCGCCTGAGCTACGACATGGTAAAAGAATTGCAACCGTATACTATTCCCCAGAATGCTATCCCACAACAGTTGACTAACTCCTAATTTACAGATGAAAAACGTTCCAAATCATTTCAATCCCGCCCGGGGCTCGAACGCAGGATCCTTAACTACGAGTGGAGAACGTAGCCCACTATGCTACCGAGTTCCACTGCCTGTTTCAAACCCAAATCACAGAACACCTATATGTATGTGTATATATATATATATGCAGGCATATTCGTAAGCCTAGGTATCGGATCCTATAAGCCCAAGATGTTAGAAGCAGCAGACAAGGGAGCGGGAGTGTAAATGTTATGACAGCGCGGGGTGGACACGCCACACACGGATGTAAACACTGCCAACCTTTGGTAAACATCTGAGGGTTGCCAAGCGTATTATCATTACCAAACAACAACAACAACAATAATAATAATAATAATTATATTGATTCAATCAATAAAATCTTCAAGACATGGATAAAATAGTGAGTAAATTCATTAACCGATTCGCAAATAAGTGTATAAAATACTCTTCACAATTTATCAGTAAAGCTAACCTGGTGATTCGCTCCACAGCTACAATGTCACGCCATTAAGACGACCGCAAGACCTTAATGGCCAGGAAATATACTGTAGTCCTCGATATACTTCGTGACTAAAGATAAGGAGGAGACATGATTCTGACGTATAAAATCCTAAGGGGTAGTAGTAGGCATCCATCAGTCTCAGGAGACTATGGAGTTGCACTCTGGTTGTTGGTCTGGAGTGGCCTCACCAGGGCGCAAAGCCAGGGTAGGTTGATGCGGAGGAGAAGCTGTTACCCAGGCAGCAGGTCCCCCCCCTCTCCACGGCGCTGCAAGTCTCCAATGGAAAGGCATACGCCAATACGATTGGTTCCAGCGCCGTCGCAGGAACTGAGTTCCAGGGTTGACCTCGAAGGTGGTGAAGAACGGCACAGGGCACAGGGCACAACTAAGGGGTATTAAGGTATATAAACTCTCAATGTATAGATGCAGATCAAGACGCAATATTCACCTCTTTTTTTCATCTTTTGAGTGGTGGAAAGGGAGGGACAAGGACGGGTTAGGTTAGTTCATCCTCCTCCAGTGAGTGGCTGTGGAGCCCATACCCCTCCTGTGAGTGGCTGTGGATCCCATACCCCTCCTGTGAGTGGCTGTGGATCCCATACCCCTCCTGTGAGTGGCTGTAGATCCCATACCCCTCCTGTGAGTGGCTGTGGATCCCATACCCCTCCTGTGAGTGGCTGTGGACCCCATACCCACCCTGAGGGCATGTTAGGTGAACAAGTTAGTGTTGATGACTTCAGTACACAATTAACATGTACACTAGGAGTGTAGTCACAGTTTACCAAACCCACATCAGTGTGCCCCCAGGAGGCAGTGTGTCCTCCATAGCTGTAATATGGCAGACGGATGAGCTAGTGTAAAGTTCACTCTCACGTCTGTTCAATTGTGTTGGCGTTATTGGCGGGAAACAAATATGCAGTAAATAGCTTCGTTACATATGTGTGGAATTGTGCAGTTCTCTCGCTCTCTCTCTCCCTCCCCTTCCCTCACCCTCTCTCCCTCTCTCTCCCTCTCCCTCCCTCCCCTTCCCTCACCCTCTCTCCCTCTCTCTCCCCCCCCTCTCTCCCTCCCTCTCTCTCCACATGGGTATAGAAGTAGACGTGTGGTGTCTGCTGTTAGCAGGCTCAGAGCCTCGTTCCTTCTCACAGTTCATGGTAAGCCTTAGAGTTTTCTTCCTGGAACACGACCCACGTATTGGTTTTACTCCCAAGTCCTTCAGTTACCGCTGGATGACCAGGGGCGAACAGTTATGGCTTGGTTCCCAATCAATCCTCCCCGGGTTTTGTCACGGGACGAGGGTGTTTTACACACCCACACACATATATATAGACATATATACAGGCAGATTTTTGCATTCTGACTGCATCTTTTTGTGTGGCGGGCATTGTGTGTGTGCGTGCGTGCAGACTATCATACCAGCCCTTCCCAGTATGGCGACACAGACTAAATACCATCCCATCACGAGGACAGATGACCCGCTCCACCAACGCTATCATAACCATCAATCTCTCCACTGAACAAAGGCAACCAATTCTAACTCAAACTTCAGAAAAGAACATTTTATTTTTCGTTTTTGTCTTGCTTATAGAGTGAAACCGAGTTCACTCTTGGTTTCACATTATATATATATATATATATATATATATATATATATATATATATATATATATATATGCGGAAATATGTGTTTTGTGATCGTCAATTGCATATATATATATATATATATATATATATATATATATATATATATATATATATATATATATATATATATATATATAATATATATCCTTGCGACTGCTTCTGTTTCTAAGGCAAGGTCATTGCATCCTGTTTACATTGGCTCGGGGTCTTGAAGTGGGTAGAAGAAGAATTCTACCGACTTCAAGAAAACAAAATTGGAAAGCAAGGACAGCATAAGATTCCTTATTATTTAAGATGTATATAACCTTTGTGAGAGTGGAGTGAGGAAAACCGACATTTATTACCAGAGAGCACCATAGTAATGGAGCCCAGACTCACCGCATAGACAGGGAGCCACTTGGGCAGCGTCTCCGTCAGGAAGGTCCTGGTGGTCATCCAGCCGCAGGAGGGGAAGGAGGTGACCCTCTGAAGTCGCGTGAGGTCGCTGGAGGTGTGCGAGGAGCTCAGGTGGGAGAAGGCCGACACCCCGTACAGCGAGTCCTCCTCCACCTCCAGGAGAACCGACGTCTGCTGCATGAACCTGGAGACGTGGCAGAGGTAAACATAAGCTGGCCACGTGACAGAGGTAAACACAAGCTGGCCACGTGGCAGAGGTAAACACAAGCTGGCCACGTGGCAGAGGTAAACACAAGCTGGCCACGTGGCAGAGGTAAATACAAGCTGGCCACGTGGCAGAGGTAAACACAAGCTGGACACGTGACACAGGTAAACACATCTACTGACATCTTACCAGTATGTAAGGAGGAAGATTATTCGTGTGGATCAGAGTTTACAAGTATTTTCACTAGATTCTTAACTTGTAACAATTGTGGTAATTGTATTATTAGCTGAGCCATTTGGGCACTGTCATATTTTGGTGGCTGCGTGGACTTTAACTCTGGAGAGGAGATTACTGACTTTGCCAGATTTTTCAGTCATTGTGAACTCTGACTATTGAGAAGAGTTATTCGACTTTGCAGTTTGCCAGTCCAGTTAGGACATTCAGTTTTTCTGAAGGCAAATTGATAGTTCAGTGACTTGTGTTATTGACGTTCAGACTTACCAGCCAGTCTTGAGTTGTGAAGTGAACCAATGTTATTAGGTCTTCGTTGCTTAGAGACATCTAGCTGCTGTGACCTGTGTCTTGTATTACTTTACTGTGACCTGTGCCTTGTATTACTTTACTGGTTACGTGGTTGTATGTATGTATATAGATTATGGATGCTTGTGTATAATAAGCTGTATGATGTTGATAAGTTCACCCCCCAGTAAACTGGAGGATTTTACATAGACTTTCACTCTACTCTGGACACATTGCAAATTAATAATTTGAGGCTAGGTGGTTCATTACTTTATGAGAGAAAGTTGTGATCTACGAGCCTTGCTGTGGATCATGGCTTGCCACCTGGGCCTATCCACCACGCCAGCCCGCGCCTAGCCTCCACACCGGCCACAAACACGGCCAGTTCTTGATCAACAACAAAAAAAGCCATTAAACAAGAACAAACTTTTTTGCAACTTTCCCAACGCCTATCCTTGCCTAATATTTTGTTAATAGTTACTCCACGTTCTGCCTTCCTATCCTCCCATGTTCTCCCCTGCCCTCCTCCCACGTTCCTCCTACCCTCTGGTCCTCTCTCCTATCCCCCGAGACGGAGAGCGAGAGGTGAGACTCACGAGAAGAAGTCCGGAGCGAGTATCAAGTCCTCCTCCAAGATGATAAACTTGTCAACATCTTCAAACGTCTCCAGAGCCTTGAAGAGGGCGAACCTCAGGTGTCTGTTGGGCGGCATACTGGTGAGACACTGGTGAGATACTGGTGAGACACTGGTGAGATACTGGTGAGACACTGGTGAGATACTAGAAATATACTGGTGAGAAACTGCTTAGCCACTGGTGAGAAACTTGTGAGTACTAGTGAGATCAAAGTTAACAAACCAGTATCATAAGATGAGTGGGTTCGCCTGTAGTGCAAGAGTTGCAAATCGTCCAGACACAAACCCCGTATCATAAAATCATAATTATTGTGTTATAAAGATTGACAAGACATTCCACAGCACCAGGAGGTGCAGGAGTGTGTCATCCCGCCCCCCTGGCGGTAACCTGAAGCCGTGGGCGTACCTGGAGATCCTGGGGGAGGCGAGGTCGCCCTCGGGGGTGTGAACCAGGTAGCGGAGGCCCAACACCTCCACCAGCCGGATGGGCTCGTCCTCCACGCCGTCCACAGAGACCAGCACCTGGGCAGGTCTGACGCCAGGCTGACGCAGCAGCTGATGCAGAAGTCTTCAGCAGACGCAAAACGATAATGATAATATAAATAATGATTTATAAAAGCTGTAAACAGACTATCTGGGGGAGGAACAGACTATCTGGGGGAGGAACAGACTATCCCAGGCACCTCCGCCCCCCCCCCTTCCCCCAACTGTGTAAACTGAATGTAGTTACAGTTTTATAAAGCCATTAATCTCGCTCAGCGTTTCCGGATAAATAGTTAACATTAATGGACGGAGGACGACCTGACCTGACCTGTGCACCCAGACGGAGGACGACCTGACCTGGTCGTCGTACCCCAGACGGAGGACGACCTGACCTGGTCGTCGTACCCCAGACGGAGGACGACCTGACCTGGTCGTGGTACCCCAGGCGGAGGACGACCCGACCTGGTCGTCGTACCCCAGACGGAGGACGACCACTCCCCCGTGAAGCAGCCGTGTATCACAGGTAAGATAGAACACCGGCCATATATTACCCCTCAGTAATAAGGTGTCATATTATAATCTCCGCCTCACTCATACCAGGGAAAAATTACTTTGTGGATAATTATGAGTCTTAAGGAGATGAATTGGCTGGTATCCGGTGCGGTAATGGGGAGGGGTTATGGAGAGGGGTGATGGGGAGGGGTGATGGGGGAGGGGTGACTGCAAGAACAGTACAGTACACAGAACAGCAACACTGATGGAACTACAGTGGTGGAACAATAGTTTTTAGAGCTATACAATGAAAGTGACAATGCAGCCGATAACCAAAGGTCAGGTCAAGACGGGTCAAAGGTGCAGCAAGTCACGAGGTTGACCTCCCCCCCGTCCCCTCTCTCTCTCTCTCTCTCTCTCTCTCTCTCTCTCTCTCTCCAGCTGACTACTCAATATCTCAGATCATCTTGAATTATTATAATGAGAGGTCATCGGAGATTTTTTCCAAATTGTTATAATGGCGAAATATTATCTGGTCGTTATATGATGAGAAAGGGACGATGAGGATGGGAGATGAGTGAGGAGTGAGATTGGGACGTCTCGTGAGATGAGGGCTGAGATGAGTGAGGGGTGAGATTGGCAGGTGTGGCGAGGAGGGCTGAGATTGGCAGGTGTGGTGAGGAGGGGTAAGATTGGTAGGTGTGGTGAGGAGGGCTGAGATTGGCAGGTGTGGTGAAGAGGGCTGAGATTGGCAGGTGTGGTGAGGAGGGGTGAGATTGGCAGATGTTTTGAATGCTTTGTGAAAGTCTGAGAAATCAATGGATCCAGAACAATTGCTCTCCTGACGAGTCCCCCCCCCTCCCATGTGTGAGTAAATGAGTAACTAATAAGTAGGTAACTAGGTAGGAAAGTAAGCAACCCCACATGTGAGTAGGTATCCAGGTGAGTACGTGAGTCTTTACCTCGGCTGCTCCCTCTCAAACCTCCGTCTCACAAGATCTGAATGAACATGGAAATTCTAAAGCCGATTCTTATTAAATTGAATCGACTTCATTCATCAGGTAGAATGTCTACTGTCTTGTCTCCAGAACCCAAATGAGGCATAACCCAAAGTGGCTCCTGGAGGACCAGACGCTCTAAGCTAGTCTCATTAAACTTTGCATTGTGATAGGCAGGTGATTAATATAAGCGGGTTGGGGTCAGCCCCCCATGTGTGACTAACCTGTATAAGTATCGAGGTCTGTTCCACGCCAGCACGACAATGACCATGTTCTCCCGCCACCATCCCTGTAGAACACGAAGAACACATGAACGAACAAATCCACAAGGGCTGTGACGAAGGTTCGAACCTACGTCCCAGAGGATCCCAGACGCTGCCTTAATCCACTGAGCTACGACATGGTCAAAAGAATTCATTTGATGCATCACGCTAATGTGATTTCCGTGTGTAACACATGAACAGAGAGAGACCAGTGGAGAACAGTGAACATGGCCAGAGAGAGAGAGACCAGTGGAGAACAGTGAACATGGCCAGATGTAAGGGTGGAGAACATGTCAATGAGGTTCAGTAATGAAATATAAAACTGGAATATATACGTTGAGGGAGTGAAGAACAGATGAACTTGTTCAAACGAGGTCTAGAAGGTTCCAGAAATGGTGAACAAGGGGTAATAGAGGCATTTAAGAAGGTGGAGTATTAAGAGAACCGCCTGTATGTATACTCATGTATATATAACATGTATACTCATCTATCCCCTCTCTCCCTCATTCACTCCCTCGCTGACTCACTTACATGAGTACTCACAGCTAGGTGAGTAGGTACTCACCATACAATTCCCACGCTCTCATGCTTATGAGATGGAAAGTATACATGCATGCGTAATAAGGGAAAGTATACCTGCATGTATAATGACGGAGAGGTAAAGTATACTTACATGTATAACGAGACAGGGCAAATATGCATACATGAATAATGGGAAAGGGAAGCCGTGAATGTCATGTATATGTCATGAATAATGGGAAAATGTGGCTGTATGAACGAGAAAATGAAAGTGTGTATATGCATGTATGATGCATGAAGCGGCCAACAATAGGCAGATAAGACACGTGGCAGTGATGAGAGACATTACTCGTGAAGAGGTAATGGCTGGTGCTGAATGATAAGAGAGAGGGGGGGGGGCAGGTGGGGGGGGACTGGGAGAGACAGGAAGGGGGACTGGAGGGAGGAAGAGAAGGGATGGGTAAGGCCACAGGGAAGGGGAAGAGGGGTCGAGGAGGGGAAGCACTATCGCACTGATGAAGATATATTGACTATATATCCACCACCAGAATCACTCAACACAGAAGCCTTGGGTCAGGGAGAGGGGAGAGCGTGGGGTGGGGGGAGAGCGTGGGGTGGGGTGGGGAAAGGTGAAGAGAGAAAGAGAGAGAAAGAGAGAGAGAAGATAATGCTCTCAAAATGCTTTACATAACCCCACCATACAACCCCCTTGCCACCCCAACAACACCCCACACACATACACCACTTACACCCCCCACTCCCTGCACCCCCACACACGTTACTCCACCCATCCCCTACACAACCCAGCACCCCTACCCCTACACATCAATTACACAACAGCACACATAACCCACACAACCCAACTCCCTACACACCACCCCTACATATCACCCACACAACCCAACTCCCCACACCCCAGCCTGCACATGACCTACACAACCCCACACCACCACCCTATCATCACCCAACACAGCCCCACAAACTACACACCAACCCACACAATCCCACAATGTGCACACCACACTACATTCCAATCCACTTTACCAAAGGGGTAATTTAATGAACTAGGGGCTAGAAAAGCGGGGTGCAAGAGCTAGAGCTCCATCCTACAGACACAAAGAGGTGAGTACAGCAAGGTGAGTGTAGACACCCACAAACTTACCTGCCTGGGGGCTGGGTATGGACGGGCCGGGAGCAGGTCATCACAGGAGCAGAGGTCACCGTACCCATCATACAGGTCACAGAAGTAGTGTCGCTTCTCCCACTCGCCACCAGAGGGCCAGCTGCTGCATAGTCGGTCTGTGGGAGTGACTGATGGTTAGACTCCCACAGACAAGTATGTGGGCGGAGTGAGGGGGGGGGGTCAGAAGGGAACTATCAGGACAAAGCGCCAACCATTACGACTATATAGCACTTAACCCAAATCAGGATAAGGATTTGGGATTGGACAATGAGAGTGAACCTTCTCAAACAACTTGCAGACCTGAGGAGTCAGTCAATCAGCATAATGTGTGCCAACATCAGAGGCTCCACTACCAACGTTGGCGATCTCACACACAGCTTTGTGAACACTCATCGTCCTGATGTAGTTGTTGTGCTGGAAACATTTCTAGATGACAGGGCCCCTGAGAACTTGGCTACAATGACCGGTTATACCTCATGGTTGTGCCGAGACAGGCAGGGTCACGGAGGGGGTGTTGTAGTGGGCACCAGCAAATCTGTGTATGTCCAACCCATTGATGTGGTCATCCCTATTCATCTTGAAATTATGTTCTTCAAAATTTGCATAAATCCAGGTACATCAATACTCCTATGTGCAATGTACAGACCTCAATGGCAGAGTGCTTTCCCAGTCACGTCATCTTCCTGCAGCACAACCGTCACCACAATTATTGTCGGTGACCTCAACCACTGTCTCATAGAGGGGATTTTGCTGCCCAAGATGCAGGTCCCTGATCCTGGACGTCAGCCTCCACATCTTGCCCCAAGAACTGTGTCTAAGATGACTGAAGTGGTTACACAGCAGGCTGAAGTTCTCCATCTCCTTAACACGCTAGACACAAGCAAAGCTGTGGGGCCAGATAAGGTCAGTCCACCACTACTACGCAGCTGTGCTGACCTGTTGGCTTCACCTCTCACGCGCCTCTCCCAACTGTGCCTACCTCAAGGAATGTGGCCCTCCTTATGGAAGAAGGAAGACGTTGTTCCAGTACACAAAAAGAGTCGCTGCTCAGTAGTTGGTAACTACAGACCTGTGTCACTGCTCTCCGGCAAGATCCTCGAATCATTAATCTCTCAGCAAATTTTATCTTTTGACCATCATCGGCTAATATGTCATCGACAGTATGGTTTTAGAAAAGGCCGATCTGCTGCTGATCTCTTGCTAAATCTCTCCTCTAAGTGGCATCAGTCAATGGATGAGTCCAAGATCAGCTGTGTTGTTGCTCTAGACACAGCAGGAGCCTTTGTTCGGGTCTGGCACTCTGGAGTAGTAGTGAAGCTTCAAGCACTAGGCATCTCAGGCTCCATCTTAGTGTTATTAAAAGACTACCTTCAAGAATGTGCTGTAGGTGTGGATGAGGTGATGGGGAAGGAAGGATTTCTACTGAACAGCTACGATAGTCAAAATACGTGTGTGTGTGTGTGTGTGTGTGTGTGTGTGTGTGTGTGTGTGTGTGTGTGTGTGTGTGTGTGTGTGTGTGTGTGTGTGTGTGTGGAGGCGGGGGAGCAGGAGAGGGGGTGGTACCGGAGGGGGGCGGGCAGGGGAACAAAGCAGCCTAACAGCAAATTACTGTTTACCAACATCACAAGGGCTGGTTGGACCACATCATTAGGCGCTCAATTAGTCAATTAGTGTACACAATAACAAGGGTTCAGGAGCAGCAGCTCAATAGTCTTCCGGTGACTAACTATCCCTCCCCCCCCTCTATCACTCCTTCCCCTCCCCCACTTCACTCCCTACCCCCTCCCTATCCTCCCTCCCTTACCCCTCCCTTCCCTCTCACTCTTACCTACTTCCTTCCCTCTCTTCCTCACCCTCCTCTTCCTCATCCCCCCCTCCCCTCTCAGGCCAGTCGTACAGGTGTAACAAAAGCGATACTAATGTTTCACTCGAGACATCAAACATGCTGTAAAACACAATGGTGCTTCCTGTAAACTGGATGAGCGGTTTACAACGTGTTCAATAGACCAGTTGAACAGACAATGGCCCAGAAGTCACCCAATTAACGCAGTCAATAGCCAACTAGTCACTGATGGCGGGGAGTCGAACCCTCAACCTGTGAGTTGTGAGACCATTATCTCCAGCGTCTCATTACGAAGCTTTCTCACCTTCTGGGTGTTGAGGTATGTTGAGGTGGAGATGGAGGGGGCGTTGAGCGTCGTGGAGGGGGCGTTGGGCGGCGTGGAGGGGGCGTAGCGACTGGTAAATATCGTCCATGTTAGCCAGGAGTGCCTCGGCCAGGGTAGGGCCGCCCACTCGCCACACCCACGCCCATCCATCACCGAAACTGAGGTGCTGGGCCGCCCACGACCCGAGGGAGTGGAGGACCTTCCTCGCCTCGGGCTCCAGAACCATGGAACAGTCGTGCTGTGGGAGAAAAACTTGACTCATGTATTCATGAATAATACATGAATACATGAATATTATTTTGCTATTAATTCGTCCTAGGTACCTTCACAAGAGATCATACCTAGCTGTCAGAATCTGCTCCAGATCCCAGTAAGAGGCAGGTACCTTACCTTGCGGTTACTTTGCAATGATTTCGGGGCTCAACGTCCCCACGGCCCAGTCCTCGACCAAGCCTCCTAGTTGCTGGACTAATCAACCAGGCTATTGGACGCGGTTGATCGCAGCCTGAGTCATAGCCTGGTTGATCAGGTATCCTTTGGAGGTGTTTATCAAGTTGATAAATTTGATAAACAGTGTTATCTCTTGAACACTGTGAGGGGTCGGCCAGTTATGCCCCTTATGTGTAGTGGAAGCGTGTTGAACAGTCTCGGACCTCTGATGTTGATAGAGTTCTCTCTCAGAGTATCTGTTGCACCTCTGCTCTTCAACGAGGGTATTCTGCACATCCTGCCATGCCTTCTGGTCTCATATGCTGTTATTTCTGAGTGCAGGTTTGGGACCAGCCCCTCTAATGTTTTTCATGTGTAAATTATTATGTATCTCTCCCGCCTGCGCTCAAGAGAATACAGATCTAGGGATTTGAGTCGGTCCCAATAGTTTAGATGTTTTACTGAGTGGATTCAAGCAGTAAAGGATCTCTGCAAGCTCTACAGGTCAGCAATTTCTCCAGCTTTGAAAGAGGCTGTCATTGTGCAGCAGTATTGAAGAGTGTCATCATCGGTATAGCATCTCTAGTGTGAAAGCTATTTGTTATCCAACCTGTCATTTTTCTTGTAATTGTGACGGCTATTTTATTGTGTTCTTTAAAGGTAACGTCTTCCGACATGAGTACATCCAAATCCTTTACATTGCCTTTTCGTTCTATATTATGGTTTGACTGAATTTTGTACGTGGTTTCTGTTTTTATATTTTATTTTTTTCCATAGCGCATGAGCTGGAACTTATCTTCGTTAAATACCATATTATTTTCAGTACCCCATTGAAAGACCTGATTTACATCTCTTCTATGTTGTCTGCTCATAAAAATCCTGGTGTCATCTGCAAAGGATGATACAGTGCTATAGTTTGTGTCCTTGTCTATGTCCGAAACGAGGATGAGAAAAAGTACTGGAGCAAGCACAGTACCCTGGGGGACTAAGCTCTTCACGGTTGATGGTCCGGATTTTATTTTTTTGACTATGACACATTGGGTTCTGTTAGTCAGGAAATTGTAGATCCATCTGCCTATTTTCCGGTAATTCCTTTTCAACGCATTTTATGTGCAATAACACCATGGTCACATTTGTCAAAGGCTTTTGCGAAATCAGTGTAAATTACATCAGCGTTTTGTTTGTCTTCCATAGCATCTAATGCCATGTCACAGTGGTCGAGCAACTGTGACAGGCAAGAGCGCCCTGTTCTGAACCCATGTTGTCCGGGGTTATGGAGATGCTGTGATACCATACTTACGTAGGAGGTGATGAGGGCGACCCTGCCCTCCCTGAGGTGCTGAAGGGTGCGTGCCAGCTCCAGGTCCAGCAAGGGGGTGACAGTGTTGAAGTAGTGGGTGAGAGTGACGCGACCAGTGTGGGGGTTGAGCACCTGCAGGTAGCACCCACCGTACTGGTCCAGCCTCGCCCACGGTCTATGCTGCGGCCTCGTCAGGGTGCTGCTCCTTGTCATCACCTGCAGGAGACAGGTGGAGGTCACGTGTTGATCATGTACTGGGCACGGTAACAACTGAAGGAGCTCAGAGGTTAGCTTCGGCATGATCCAGGGAGAGGGATCTAAGGTCCATGGGAAGGGGGAACCAAGGTCCATGGGGGAGGGGGAACTATCAGGGGAAAGCACCGAGCTATTACGACTATATATCACTGGGAAGGGGTCAGGATAAGGATTTGAGATGGGACGGAGGGAAGGGAATGGTGCCCAACCACTTGTGGAAGGTCGGGGATTGAACGCCGACCTATCATAAATAAAAAAAAAAATAAAGATAATAGAAAATATCAATTTAACTGTCGGTCTATACTGAGAGTATATATCTGGGCCACTAGACTACTGTCCTTGGCACTGTCCCAAATACTGTCCCTGATACTGTCCTTAGTATTGTCTTCTGACACGGTCTTAGTGACAAGTCTCTGGAACTGTTACATATCCTCCCTGGAGAGAGAGAGAGAGAGAGAGAGAGAGAGAGAGAGAGAGAGAGAGAGAGAGAGAGAGAGAGAGTGAAAGAGAGATATCCTGGTCAAATGTGAAATTAGTGAGTGGAAGAGAAATATTATAATGATTTCCATTAAGATCAAAGAACAGTCGTCAGAGAGAGAGACACCTTCCCCCCCCCCCTCCCCCCCGGCTGGGACCTACTGGTCGTAAGGTTAATAAGCCGCATTAACACACACAAGATGAACACACACACATGCTCTCAAAGCACACTCACGACACTGGCTGAGAAACCTGAGATTTTGAGCTGCTCCATGTTGACAGACAAGTGCAGATCATTATTAACACTGAAGGGTTTATTAAACTCTAACAACACTCACAACCAGAAATTGGTTCAAGAAACAACTGATATTATAAGAAAACGAGAAATTTATATAGTAACAAATATATGAAGGAAAAGGAATAAGAAAATTGTGAAGCAATGGAATTCGAGGTCAAATAACTACTAGCCTCATCAAAATTGGCCGTTTGTGGCCCCTTTAAACTCAAAAGTTGTCTTTACAATGTCAACTTTTGATATTTTGACTTGACAAAAGTTGACTCGTGAATGTCGCAATACTAACAAACTGGACATCAACTCAAAACGAAGGTTAATGAAGCTGTCTTCAATAATTATATCTTTACGTTAACCTCACACAAGTGGTCAAAACACAAACACAAATCCCAAGCCGTCACCAGGCTACGACAGTCAGCTTTGAATTCCGCTAACCTTGAATACTTTCATGGGCAAAGCACAATGAAAATTAAATCATGGATATATCATCACAGCTGAAACAAGTTGCTCAGAAGGAATCTAACTGAGGAGGTGCCTCCTGAGCCGCTTCCGCTTCCCAGGACAGCGGAGGGAAGTGTCTTAGCTACAGTAATGGTACTGACGACTTCCTGGCTTCCTTCCAGCAAGCAGGCGACTAGACACTGCAGCCAGGGACACCATCTTCCTCTCTAGTACTTCATGGCGTGATGTTCACCACCTCTTGCAATCCTTGCTCTACAATCTTGGCTCTTTGTCTCAATCCTCGCTTAGACCCATGAAACGCTGCAACATTCATTTTTCTGAGCGGCTGGATAATAAGGGGGACAGTGGGCGGTAACTAGATAGATATCAAACGTGTCCTCCTAATAGAACGTCGCATTTTGACGTATACTCTACCCAAGGCCAAAAATCGTCGTTCTAGAAAATGGTAGCGGCTTGCGAAAGTGACGTACTGTCCCGTATTCTGTTTTGGGTCCTCTGGTAGGTTAGGATAAGGGCACTTTAGTACGACAGTTTCTTGACGTTGGGGAACCTCAGGATGGACGGGCTGGGATAGGGCACTGCCTCACCACACTAGTTGCACTCCAGGGGTTGATCCAATCTACCTGCCGACAGCTGCAGGTAACTTGTGTGTGTAGGCTGTAGAGCAGTTCCACAAAACTCTCCGCACCACAGTCACCAGAGTTCACACAGTCCTAGACCACTAGCCGACGTCAAGCTACAACTTGACGTCTGCTATTCTTGACTAATCGACGAAATACACTTTCCAAAGGTTCGTTAGGTTTCTCCTCGCGTCTTCCCAGAAGTCCTCGGCTCTCTATATACCTCGACTCTTGACGTTGTATATAGACAAGAAGAATGTCTTATGCGCGGTTGCTTCACTGACGGACAGGGGAACACTGAGGCTTCCAACACCAATGAGATACCTCGTTGCCCTGCTCGGTGGTCACGTGACATCTAGTCACCTGTTAATTGGCTCTTGCTTCCAACTTGCAGCCAATCATATCCTTCCTTCACATCCGGGTCGTGACGTCCTTGCCCCTGGCTGCTCTGGCGCGGGAAACTCCACACAAAGTGGCGCCGCCACAACTGGCATATTGGAAGAAATGGTAGCTAGGCTTCCCCCTCATGAATTCCTTAAAATTGAAATTTCTTCTAAGCCGTGCAACTTGCACACTTCCTGTTTGAATTGAAATGATTCCCGGGCCATCACGTACGTTCATGGGGTAGGAATATTATTGTTGCCCGAAACGCTATGACGTATTAGTGGCTAGCTCCATCTATAAATCCAACTTTACGTTTGTAAATCAACTATGTATGTACTTTTCCTGAATAAAGAATTTGAATTTTGAATTTGAAAGAAAATGACAAAGCCAGAAAGGTAGGAAAGAGGCGGCGAACGTAACCGTCCACACGCTTGAAATATGATGTCATTTAGACAGCAATACAAGCTGAAGTGGCAGAGATATTGGGAGCCAAGTCGTAATACAGCAGCGACACGTCTAGCACTAATGCCGCCCCAGGCACATGCACTTCCCACTCAACCATTATGGGCTCACACGTATATTGGTAGTACTTCTTATTGAGATATTCTCAAGCTATTCATGGTGCAGTCGGTAGTGTGTGCGTGTAGCTGGACAGTTCAAGGATGCGGGTTCGATCCCATTGTAAAGACTTAATATATTCTCTGATATATTAGCCCTCGCGATAACAATAACTATGACCCATTTTCAATTCGATAAATATACTTGTTCTGAATCTCAAAGTTCCTTGTGACTTTATTTATGAAAGATCAATATTACTCTATAACCTCCTTTATTGGGTCAATATCATACACGTGGATGCTGTACATGGAGACGGAGCAGCTGTCACTTGAGTAAGGTTGTCCTTGATGGTTGCTCATACAGCCTGTTCTCTTAAGGTTCCCCAACGTTAAGAAACTGTCGTGGTAAAGTGCCCTGCCAGTCTTCCCTGCCTGGAACCCCCAATAATATATAAACCTACTAACGTAGGCAGCAGTTAACTCTTGCTAACAGTTAATTATTCGCTTTAATTGGTAATCAATTTAATTACCTCAAATACTATTAATTAATTTATGTGGGTGTTAGGCTCAAGGCCTACCAACCACTGGAGGGTTATTAGGGCCTGTCAACCTCTGCAGAGTTATTAAGACTGCCTCAGTTGCTTAATGACTAACCAGCAAGTATACTTTTGTATACTTATCTCGTATACTCTCGCATCTCTGGTATACAGAGAAGAGGAATATAATACACCTGGTGCTTTGCTTGGACAGTACAATAAGTACAAGCGTGGACAGCACAAGTGTGTGTGTGTAAGAGAGAGAGAGAGAGAGAGAGAGAGAGAGAGAGAGAGAGAGAGAGAGAGAGAGAGAGAGAGAGAGAGAGAGACAGACAGAGACAAACAGACAGACAGCGTTTCATTTGCCAAACACTAAATAATGTAGTCATGGTGTGTGTGTAGGCTAGCAAGTGTGAGCATGGGGTGTGGTGTCCCCAGGTCCAGCATCATGTTACACAGCCTCAGGGGCCCTCAGCTTCAGTGAGAACACACTCACATCACGTAAATACATTTAATGGCTTTTGTCAGTCAAGTGATTAACAATGTCCTCTAAAAGCTATTCATTCTTAAACAAATTTAATCCAGGAGAGGATTAATGGCGTGACCAAACACCACTGAGTCCATATGGATGAAGACACTTTTTTTTTGAGATATATACAAGAGTTGTTACATTCTTGTACATTCTTGTTACATTCTTGTTACATTCTACGCGTACATTCTTGTACGCGTAGCGTTTCGGGCAGGTCCCTGGAATACGATCCCCTGCCGCGAAGAATCGTTTTTTCATCCAAGTACACATTTTACTGTTGCGTTAAACAGAGGCTACAGTTAAGGAATTGCGCCCAGTAAATCCTCCCTGGCCAGGATACGAACCCATGACATAGCGCTCGCGGAACGCCAGGCGAGTGTCTTACCACTACACCACGGAGACTGTAATCTCACATACTCTCCTAAACATCTGCGCATTTGATCCGAAGACGTATATTGAGAAGCTTGTCAACATATGTAGCCTCATGGTTGTAAAATGTCTCCTGGGGAACGGGTATTGAGGCGGAGGTTCTCGCCCAGTTTCTGATGCTATGTTCGTCCAAGCTACGGCCGACCCAAACCCTTTCTCAAGCATGTCACAGCTCCAATCGTTAGCAAAAACCTATCAATCATTAATAAACTGTGGAATAAAAAAACGGCATTTTTGCAAAAATAAAATGATATTATATTGTAGATTTAAGTGGTGATAAGCCTAGTGTAGCTTTGTTTATGAATTTTTGTTGTCATAGTCGACAAACACGTCTTTGAAGTGGACCGCACTTTGGGCGATCACAGCCCGTGGACAGGACGTTGTCTACACTTATAACTACACTTACAAACGAAGGTAAGAGGAGGAGAAGTGATCATCAATAACATCAGTACTCACTAGAGTGTCGTTGATGGAGACTGAGGCGTGGTGGGGCCCGGAGGTGAGGGTGACCTCCAGCACCCTGGAGTGTAAGGCAGGAGGCAGCGTCCAGGTCAGGTCCACGGAGGCCGGCCTCAGACTCGGGTCCTCTGGCAGATGACATACACAAGGTCAGAACTGGGCTCCTCTGCATCCCAATTTTCACAACATTATCACAAATATGTAAAAACAGCGAGACTAGAGTGTGAATAAATGTATATTATATATATATATATATATATGTATATATATATATATATATATATATATATATATATATATATATATATATATATATATGTCGTACCTAGTAGCCAGAACTCACTTCTCAGCCTACTATGCGAGGCCCGATTTGCCTAATAAGCCAAGTTTTACTGAATTAATATATTTTCTCTATTTTTTTTCTTATGAAATGATAAAGCTACCCATTTCATTATGTATGAGGTCAATTTTTTTTTATTGGAGTTAAAATTAACGTAGATATATGACCGAACCTAACCAACCCTACCTAACCTAACCTAACCTATCTCTATTGGTTAGGTTAGGTTAGGTAGCCGAAAACGTTAGGTTAGGTTAGGTTAGGTAGGTTAGGTTGTCAAAAAAACATTAATTCATGAAAACTAGGCTTATTAGGCAAATCAGGCCTTGCATAGTAGGCTGAGAAGTGAGTTCTGGCTACTAGGTACGACATATATATATATATATATATATATATATATATATATATATATATCGCTTATTTTTTATATAAATTTCTTGAACATTTACCCGAGAAAGATTACCTTGACGTTCCTCCTCCTCTCACACAATCACCCAATTTTCCACAAAACACAAAATATGGAATTTATGCCAATAAAACAAAAAGGCGAGAACAATGGCGAATAAGGACACAAAGAGTGGAAGCAGACTGACTTGTCATGCTGGCCGGAATGACCTTAGCAATGTGTGAAGAGACCATGGTACGACTAAAGTAGTATTATCTCCCCCCCCCTTCCTCCAAGCATTCCCCCATTCCTGTACGTACTCAAAGTTACATATTTACTTGTAATCCACAAGATATTTTAAACAGTTAAAGGTTTACATAAAAATAACTTGGGGAGGATTACAATTAAAACAAGGTGCCAGGCAGGATTTATAGTTCCACTCTGGAGATACAAATGTGTAACATTGCACCAGTAATTGATTAATTATAGAGTTAATTCCCACTAATTACTTTGCCTGGGTCATATTAATCTGCCAGTGGTATGCTTAATTAATATAAACACATTAAATCAAATACTAGCCAACTAATGGGCACTTTACAACAGTTTGAATCACTTTTTATTATAATTCATTCTGTCGGGGGACAGGTAGCATATATATATATATATATATATATATATATATATATATATATATATATATATATATATATATATATATATATATATATATATATGTCTGTCGGCTTCAAGCTCAAGAGTTTTAGGCCTAACATAGGCCTAACTAACCTTCATTAACAGTTACTTATCTATTTCTTAAATTATGTTAATTATATCTTTAAATTTGTTACTTTTAAGCCTAACTAAATTTGCTTAGGCCTATACAATTTCCATATGCTATATTTACAATTATGTACTAACATTTCAGTATGTAAATCTGCATAATTAGGAAACTAAAATATTTATTTTTCATATGAAAATTTAAGAAGATTGCAAGCCTACTCACCAATTTCGATAAGTTGAATATTACTGAGTTATTAGTAACCAACATTTGCATCCTCACGATGCAAGTTGTGCTTCTGTAAATATACTTTCTTTTACGCTAATTCAAATACGTAAATGAACCAAGGCTATTGTAAAGTAACATGAAGAACCTCGTTCATAGTTCACTAGTGATAAGTCACAAGAAACTAGTGCTACATATCTATTTAATAATTCTTATTCACATAATCATAAATTGATTCATTATGTGAAACACCTCTCACCCCCCAGTTCTCTACCACCCCCCCATTAGTTCTCTACCCCTCTCCCCACCAGTTCTCTACCACCCCCCTAAATTCTCTAAAAACCTAACCTACAAGAGGACCCATAACAGAAAACGGGACAATGTGTCAATTTCGCGAGCCGCTAGCATTGTCTAGTACGACGATTGTCGACCTTAGGCGGAGTATACGTCAAAATGCGACACTGTGTTAGGAGGACGAGCTGTATATTCACCGTCAAAGTCGTGCAGGGAGACGTTAGTATAGTTCTTGATGGAGACGAGAACTCTTCCTCCGTCCACCGTCTTGACGGCAAGGAAGTCTGAGATGACGCTGGAGATATTCCAGTAGACAGGGATGGTTCGCTCTCCGATTACCACCTCCTTCAGCTGTGGTGGAGACAGGAGACATTAGACAAGTTCCATTATATCCGGAAGAGTCCTCAAGCTCTCCTTAAACATCTTTTAAAACAACTAATTATATTAATCCACAGATATTATCTAAAGATACATTCTAGTACGATAACATTTACATTTGTCATGTACATTATATTTTTTAAATAAGACTAAATATAAAATTCAATGTACGTGCCTACAAGACACTCTCCTTCAACTGTTCAACTAGTTTCATTACTCGCATTTTTATTTTGAGTTGTAAATTTACAGTGTGAGGACACAAGAAGCTTACGGCGTTCTTGAAAACAGTCAACAACTTCTGTATATATATCCAGCTTCGTGTCTTCCATTATTGCATTCTCAGCGTCGTTCAAAGCAACAGCATTCACCTCTCAACCTCTTTTATCACAGCAATACGCCAGGCTTGAAATAGGTTCGTGATGTTTGTGGCATCCATGTCAAGGTTGGGTATTCGGCCAGGCATTCTCTCCTTGGGTTGACTCTCTCCTTGGGTTGACTCTCTCCTTGGGTTGCCTGGTGTTACTTCTGCTGGTGTTGCACCGTCGCCTGGTTAGCTGTTGCCTGATCTGTTGCAAGGGGCACCCGTGGAGGACCATGGAGCTCCCGAGGACCACCTGAGAAACACCTGTGGAGCACCCAGTGAGCGCCTTGAATCTTCCGTTGAGCACCAGAGGATCCTTGCAGTACTGAGTAATCCTGGCTGGAGCACACGCACCTGGGCTCTTGTTACAGAGAGATGAAGCTAGCATTGTGAACTCAACCTCTTTAACGTTATTAGGGTCACCGTCATAGCTTTCTGAGCGAGCGGCAAGTGTCCTCAGCCGATATATATATTTCTACATTCAGTGTATATTCACCGTACAAGGGGGGGGGGGTGTCTTCTCCCCTCCTTGTTGACACTCTCTCTTTTGTACTCGCTGCTCTAGTGGCACCCTGGACCATTATCTACGTCCGTTTGAGGCGCAGTATGTGTTGTTGCACATACTGAGGAGGCACAGGTGGGCTGTTGCAGATACTCAGCCAGGAGCCAGTACCTGTTCCATCGACGAAGACCTTGTGAATGTCTCCGAGCACCGGTGGTAATGTCCAAGTCTTCTCTCGACCTCTAACAATACACTGTTAGGACCAGAGAGACTGACATGAGCTCAGGGGTTCAGGTTTCGGGGACGGAACGTAACCTTTGTGGAGGATTCTGTCTCGTTCGGTATTCTCAGCACCATTCTTCGTGATTGTCTTGTGAGATTGCGTAGCTGCAGGAGTTACAGCCCCGCTTCTGTGCCTGGTAAGTCCACTACGGGCTCACCATAGCCTGTGCTACTTTGGAACTTTTGTTCTAAGTAGCTGAATCTTAAAAAAACTACAAACGTAGATGCCTCCGTCTAGTAGGGTGTGTTCCCGCCTTCCTTGTGAAGCGATGGAAACTTGCGGCGATGTATACAAAGTTTAAACCACTTTTGGTGGCAGTTTGGTGAACACCAATCCCTTCCCTCTCCCGTGAACACCAATCCCTTCCCTCTCCCATAACACCAATCCCTTCCCTCTCCCGTGAACACCAATCCCTTCCCTCTCCTGTGAACACCAATCCCTTCCCTCTCCCATGCACCCTCCTATTCCCCCCACGTGTTCACTTCCACGCATAAGCCGCGACTTGGGGTAAAATATTTATGCTGGCGTCCTCAGAGGTTAAAGGGAAGGGCAGATATTATCATCCCTTGTCTCCTGCCTCTATTACCTTCTCAATCTCCTTTTTACGCGCCTTTCTCTCGCACCATTTCTTCTCCCATTCCTTTTATTATCACAGTCTCCCTCCTTCCCCCCCTACGTCTCATTCCCTGGAGGCCCCATCACACACACGCACACACTTGAGAGGCGCGAATGAAGACTCGAAAATGAAGTGACACCCACTACCACCCTTCACCACCAGCCCCCTTGTGTGAGCTGACAAGAACACCACCAACACTCAGCCACACAGGAATCATGCCAAGGTCAAACTCACGGTGGAAGGTGGACAAACCCACGGTGGAAGGTGGACAAACCCACGGTGGAAGGAGCCACCTGTCTTTACCGCCCTTCTTCGCCTCGTCTCCACTTCCCTCCTCCAAAAGTTTTCTGCTTGCTGGACCCCCGCTCGTCCCTGTCCTGCTCGCCAGTTCGCTGGACGTTTTCATTCGTTCGTATTGGCGAGTGTGTGTTCCCCCGGGATAGTTTGCCTTGGCTAGTGCCAGCCAAGAATGTTAATGTAGGTCTAATGTCCACCCACCACCTGACCCCACTACCACCTGCCACACCACCACCACCTGCACCCACTACCACCTGTCCCCACCACCACCATCTGCACCCACCACCACCTGCCCCACCACCACCTGCACCCACCACCACCACCTGCTCCCACCACCACCACCACCTGCACCCACCATGTGCTGCTCGTCAGCCTGCAGTAGGGTGGCCTCCAGCTCCTCCTTGGTCACGCCAATGTCAGCGAGGGCGTGGGGGTCCACCTGGACCTGGAGGGTGTGGTTTCCGCCTCCAGGCAGGGCCACGGTCAGACGCAGGGGCGTGGGCGGCGCCGCCACGCCCGCCCCACTACGCCCACACGCCCACGCCACCACCAGCAGCCAGCTGGCCAGGGTGTTTGACGCCATACGAGGTGGTGACGCTCTGAAGAAGGTAATTAATTGTTAAGCACCTGCTGGAAGACATGGCAGCACTGTACATTTACTGTGACGTCATTGTTACGTCACTAATACGTCAGCAAGAACTTAAACTCTAAGGATGTAACAGTTATTAATCATAGACAATTTTGTGAAGGAAACTGACGTCAAGTGACTGTCACTCACTGAGTAGTTCCAACAATGGTGGGGCCAGGATTGACTGGGCACCAGTCCTTAACTATTTGCCCCTGTTCACCCAGCAGTAATTATGGACCTGGCTGTTACTCGATTGAGGGATCGTGTTCCAGGGAGAACTAGTAAGGTCAGGTGTAACTTGAGCTATGGCAAGAGTAAGCATTAAGCCTGCTACCAGCAGTCACACGCCAACTACTTGTGTACTCACACAAAAAGGAAACAGAAAAGTGTAGTTGTCAATGTAGGCCTCCAGAAGGGTTTCAGTCTAGGCCTATAACTCGTGTGTGTGTGTGTGTGTGTGTGTGTGTGTGTGTGTGTGTGTGTGTGTGTGTGTGTGTGTGTGTGTGTGTGTGTGTGTGTGTGTGTGTGTGTGTGTGCGTGTGTGTGTGTGAAGCAAGTAACTTAGGCTCAAGTCTCTCCTGGCCAACATCAATTCCTGCAAATGTCATAAAAAAGCAAAATACATATTTGCACATAATCAAATACTACAATAAAATATTAAAAAAAAAATCGAGTCTTGTACAGAATAACGTTATTCAAACTAAACAAATATTTCAGCGCTTGAAGCCTGATTGCTCATAAAATATTCACACGGTATGAGCTTGGGAATATTGAGGCAGACATAATCCAACATCAGATTACTCCAGCACAGTAGATCAGAAGCCTCAGGCTCGATAACACACTCACTTTCCATTGACAACTTTCACGAATGATTATATAATCATTCGTGAATATATAATCGTTCGTGTTCGTGTCTTCTGTTCTAGGACAATAACAAATAGGCTGCACCTGTGTGGAGATATTTGGTATTGGTGTTGGGAACTAATACACCCACTTCCTACAAGTTTCAAAACAAAAAGCAAAGAAAAATTGTCCATGGCGAATTGGGTTATCAAAAATAGGGAGAGAGCAGAGACACAGAGCGTGGGAAGATCAGAGCGGGAAAAAGAAACCAAATTCAATTAGCAGCAGAGGATGGCGCTGGATTACGGGAGGAATCCGTGATGTCAGGAATGTGATGAACAAGTAAACCTTATCTTATGATGCTCTTACCTGGTATATCTCGTCTGGGTTTACATAGAGCGACGCGGGACACTAACAAAGAGTTCCTCCTCCTGCAGGTGGAGTGACTGAGGTAAATGTAGTGTTTGGACAGACAGACAGACCGACAGACACACATTCCTCTCCAAACTCCACCCAGGAAAACCCCTTCTACATCCCAGGCCAAACTGCCAGGAACAACTACCCGTAAGGTTGCCAGAGTCCATATTGCTGAAAGTAGCGAACTTAAGGACCAAAAGTAGCTAAATATGTTTTTTTTCAGCGATTGATATACTTTTCAGAGTACATAACCCAGCTTATTTTGAAAGTAGCCCAAACATTGCAAATAGCGACATACAAAGCTGGCTTTCAAGTGGGGCATAAGGAGCCCAATTCGTCTACTTATAGCCCAATCTGTCAAACTTGCCGACTAGACAGGGAGGGGGGGGGGGGGGGGGGGGGGGGGGGACTGCCTTCACGACACACAGAAGGTAGTCTTGTAATAACAATGGTTTAGATCTTCCACATAAACTGTCAGTTGATCTTGCCCGGGCTGTTGCCACACCCTGAGACGTGGACCAGACTGCTCTGGGAGACTTTGTAATGAAGTATTTGTGTAGCGGGAGGACGGTGGAGGCCAACAGCGAAGCGCAGGAAGAGGGGAAAGTGAAGAGGGGGAAGAGGGGACAATGGGAGCAAGTGGCAGAGAGGAGAGGAGACGAGAGAAACAGGGGAGGGGGATTGATAAACAAACTAGCAACGTAACAGCGACGTCATTGACAAAGTTTAGACATAAAAATTAAATTATTCTTGGGTTGTGTTCACTAATCTTTTCTTGACTTGCCTACAGGGAGTATCAAAATAGAGATAATAGAAATCTGTGGCCCAGCAAGACCAAGGTCTCTATTGACAGAAGATACAAAACTTAGTCTGTCTTCTATTCTTTGGCCAAAAGAGGAGCTGAACAAACACACATAACTGTCCTTCAGTTACGCATGGGGTCCACTACAGCTCATAGTATGAACGCATGGGGTCCATTACAGCTCATAGTATGAACGCATGGGGTCCACTACAGCTCATAGTATGAACGCATGGGGTCCACTACAGCTCATAGTATGAACGCATGGGGTCCACTACAGCTCATAGTATGAACGCATGGGGTCCACTACAGCTCATAGTATGAACGCATGGGGTCCACTACAGCTCATAGTATGAACGCATGGGGTCCACTACAGCTCACAGTATGAACGCATGGGGTCCACTACAGCTCACAGTATGAACGCATGGGGTCCACTACAGCTCATAGTATGAACGCATGGGGTCCACTACAGCTCACAGTATGAACGCATGGGGTCCACTACAGCTCACAGTATGAACGCATGGGGTCCACTACAGCTCACAGTATGAACGCATGGGGTCCACTACAGCTCACAGTATGAACGCATGGGGTCCACTACAGCTCACAGTATGAACGCATGGGGTCCACTACAGCTCACAGGATCAGCGAGATGGGGGTTGCATAATAAATGAACAAGAACACAATGTCTGAACACAGCTCGAACCTTTGATCGTGAGTAAAATATATCTTCTGAGGCAGACGGTCCTCAGGCCAGGGAAGTGTGTCAAGGTTGACACACAATAATGTCGCAATGTAGACGATGAGTCACAATAACGGGGCTGAAGATATGATGGCCAGACCACATACCAGAAGACGAGGAGACCACGACGTTTCGGTCCATCTTGGACCATTGTCATGTCTATTGTGACAATATGACATTATCAAGTCAAAACTGACTTGATAATGGTCAGAGACGGACCGAAACGTCGTCGTATCCTAATCTTCTGGTGTTTAGTTTGGTCATCATATCACAATGACATTACAATGACGTGATATACCAATAAAAATCATTTTGTACCATCATGGCTGAGTCGCTTAAGACAGGTAGGTGTCTGAGAATCGCCGGAACGTTGGTTCAAATCACTCCAATTGTCTCAAAATGATTTCCACAAATCTTCCATTTGAATTAAAAATGTCTTACCTTAGCGCAATGAGCGTGAGGCGACGAGGTAGACTAGTGTAGTAGACTCACAGGCGCGTGAAGGGCGTCAGGGCGCCTCAGACGACAAGGAGGAAGGCGGGAACACGGGATCTTAAACATAGCCTTCGTCACCATCTCAAGTCACCGTCGCTAGCAGGAAACTTCCTTCAGAAATGCCTTGCTCACTGTGCCTCGCTCTCCGCTCCCTCGTAAACACTTTTGCTAACTATGAGTGTACCAGTTGACCTGAAAGCCTCGTGTATAAGTGAACAGATCAGGCTTAAATATAAACAATTGTTTTGCCATATAAATACATTTGCAATGGCTCCATGTGTATTGTAGAGGTGTATGGCATTAATATTTGGGTTTCCTATATATACAAACTTAACATATTACTCTACATTGATTTATAATGTAATTTAGCAAAATATTTTATTGGTGTAAGCATTTTATTGCTAACTTTTCTACGCCAGTCAAAACAGCAGTTACATAATAATAAAACAGTGTAACCATGGCAACAAGGTCAACACCCGCTGGAAATGTTAAGATATTTCAATACAGTTACACAATATGACTATGTCGATACGTTTTAATAATTAATAATATAATAAATTACAATTAAATTGATTATGAATATATAAGAAAAAGAACAATTGAAGACAATTGAAGACAAGTGGTAAGACACCCGCACATATTCCCTCAGTCTCCCCTCACGAGGGTCAGAAGCGTCAACAGAAAACGGGAGACAACAACACAAGCAGGAAAGAATAAATATTAAATTAAACTTCCCGTAACAGTCAGCTCAGCCAAGATACAAAATGTTATTCAGATACAGAGAGCAGTCCACATTTAGTGGTCTCTTAGGGCAGTTGGTTTTGTTTTCGACTCACACTCGGGGATATCGGTGTTCGACTCCCAAGCGGGACAGAAGGGGGTTAGGCACCTTTCCTTTCACCTAATGCCTCTATGCACCTAGTAGTAAACAGGTACTCCAGATACCTGTTTACCTCCAGGTCTTTCTTAATTCCCCCCCCCCCCCCACTCGCGTACCCTAACCCCCCATAATGCCCCAGGCCCCCCCCTCCCTCCAGGACCAGCGGTGCCCCTGGGGTCATGAGCGGGCCCTCACGAGACCTGGAGGATGACCTCCAGGTCTTCACTCTGGGATCACAGAATCAGCTCGCCCGAAGCTAACTTTCTTAAGGAAAGGAGAAGCTTTTCGGAATAGTTAACCACAAGTTAATTAAAAGAGAGGTGACGGAGGCAGAAGTTAGGAGGTAAAACACAGAGAGAGATAAGGGCCAGGGAGACGCAAGAAGACCCATTAGCAAGGTGTTCACCTTTGGAATATACTTAAGGTCATGTGTTCCACACTTAAGGTCACTTAACCACCATCTGACACGTCCTTTGGGGTCAGTTTGTGACCAAAAATAATAGGGTAAGGTGGGTAGGGGGATGGGGGTGAATGGCACGGGGGGGTGAATGGCAGGGGGGAGTGTATGGCAGGGGCTGTATGGTAGGGGGGATGATGTATGGTATAATTGATAATTGACGCTAGTTCTACTCCAAGAAGTTTATAACATGAGGCTGCTGGTATTTGTCCCCGGAGGGGGGGGAGGCCTAAGGGCCTACAGGAACCTAGGTATTGAATTCTGATTCAAATATATTTACAAAACATCATACAAGATCATACATGCGGTGTATGTAAGTGGACTCCTACACTCTCCTTCGGGGGACTTTAGTTATGGCAGAATGAGTGTGCGGAAAATCTACCAGCAGGAATTTATTTATTGTTTATTTTATTTCATTATTTGCTGTTTATTTATTAATGATTTATTTTTTTAATTAAAGTGGACTGTATATTCATAGTTGTCATGGTAGGAACTTCCCCTCACAACTTGGGGGAAATATTTAATAATAGCCTAATCGAGAAAAGTCGATTGGCTGAAAAACCAAACCAAACCTGGGATCAGATTCACGAAACAGTTACTCCAGCACTAATGAACCTGTGCATCTTTTCTCAATCTTTGGCGGCTTTGTTTACAATCATTAAACAGTTAATGAGCTCCGAAGGCTGTTTATAACAATAACAACAGTTGATTTACAAGTTTTCATGCTTGTAAACTGTTTCATAAATGTAACCAAAGCCGTCAAAGATTGAGGAAAGATGTACACGTTCGTAAGTGCTTGCGTAACTGCTTTCGTGAATTTGGCCCCTGACAACTTGCTTAGGTAGAATTGTCATTAAGATCAATACCAGTGGCCACTATCCCGGTGGTAGTGGTGGTGGTGTCCAGCACACAGTAATACCAACTTCAAGTAACAACCAATCCATACTTGCACAAGAACCTTTACTGGTGGAAAACTTGAGGCGGCTCCTCATTAATACATAACTGCTCCAGATCACAATTATTGAAAATTCCAAACGACACAAAAGCAAAATAGTAAACATTTTTTTAATGAATATTGTATTTTTCTTCCTATCTATTTTGAGCTGAATTGTAAAGTTATAAAATAGCACATGAAATTAAAACGATATATATATATATATATATATATATATATATATATATATATATATATATAACAGCACACAGCGCGTAGCACACCACTATACCATCAACAGTACACATCACCACTACTACTACCATAACCACCACAAGAGGACCATAGTAGTGAAGCTATTAGTGCCAACAACAACAGCATGGTGGATCCACTACAAAAAAAAGAACCATATTTCTTGAGGAAAGTTTCACGTGATTTACTTCATAGTAAACACCTCTTAAGTGACAATACGGTACCTCAAATATTTTCAAGAAAGGCCCAAGAGGTCAACTTTAGATCAGGAGCAACTTACAAGTCCCCCGAGGTGTATTGGCTTTAAACTTTGTCTTGTGAGTGTTTAAGTTGGCAGCGGTAAGTTGGTGTAAGTTAGTGACTGTTGACAGTAGAGTGTTGCCAGGGTCTGCGGCTGTCAGCCCTGACACTACATTATATACGTGGGCTGACAGCCAGTGCCTGACCCCAGGCACTGTGTAAATCATGTAAAATTGTGTGTAAATCACGAAAATTAACACGTGATGAAAAATATGACAGTGTCAGACCACGGAGGAACAACTGAAACAGGAATTTCCTCAAGTACTTTCGTAGAGTAATACATCTTCAGAAGGAATTATTTCAATCATTGAAATGAAATCACTGCAAGATTTCAAGCAATGAAATCATTCCTTCTGAAGATGTATTAATATACGAAAGTACTTAAGGAAATTCCTGTTTCAATTCTTCCTCCGTGGTCTGACACTGTCATATTATATTATATATATATATATATATATATATATATATATATATATATATATATATATATATATATATATATATATATATATATATATATATATATAAGCCGCCACAAAACGTTTATTTACAATAAAAGAGCACATACTGACAGACAATACTCTAAAATATGTCTCCCGGTCGCAACCCAACAATAAGATACTACGAAGACACTTTAAGACGTGCAAGAGATTCTTCAAGACGGAGAGCGTGGATAATTTCTCAGCGTCTCCCGTGTCTGCTCAGGCGAGGAGAAAATCTATCTTCAGGAGGAAGAGACGCGCACACAGCCCGCACCATTTGTCTGTTGTGGCAGGCACCCATACACCCCCCACTCTTCCCACCGACCCACTTTTAAGTGATCCTTGAGCTGGTCGCAGGCCGAGTTTGAGGTCCTGCTTGCCCTCTTAGTTTCATAATACCTACCACCACAGCTAACAGTTTATGCTGAATACCAAAAGACCAAGTCCACTACGGGCTCACCATAGCCCGTGCTACTGGCCCCCGCTCCTGTGCCAGCTAAGTCCACTACGGGCTCACCATAGCCCGTGCTACTTGCCCCGCTCCTGTGCCAGGTAAGTCCACTACGGGCTCACCATAGCCCGTGCTACTTGCCCCGCTCCTGTGCCAGCTAAGTCCACTACGGGCTCACCATAGCCCGTGCTACTTGCCCCGCTCCTGTGCCAGCTAAGTCCACTACGGGCTCACCATAGCCCGTGCTACTTGCCCCGCTCCTGTGCCAGGTAAGGCCACTACGGGCTCACCATAGCCCGTGCTACTTGCCCCGCTCCTGTGCCAGGTAAGTACCGTAAGTACATGTACTCTGAATCGTTAGCGTCCGCGCATACGGACAAACAGCCTAGTGCGGGACATTCAAAACTAGAGAGGCGCTTTTTCATGGATACTACTAACAAGGCTCAGTGGCGTAACACAATGACAGCAACGGCACTTCCCTAGCAAGAACCACTCTTAGTCTATCTGTTATCCTTGGAGCAGAAGGCCACGTCACACTATAGAGCCCGTCTGGTGGTGGAGGCAGGGACCCAACCACCCCAGATCAGGCCGGTCTGCTGATCAACACAACACTACACACAACTCTCTACCTCTGAGGCTCATGTGTCTCAAAGACAAGTATTTACACGCCACCTCAACACTATTTTACACACAACCAGGCAAGAGAAGGACGGTAGATGATGCTACAGGAGGACGGTAGATGTTACAGGAGAAAGGTAGATGTTACATGAGGAAGGTAGATGCTACAGGAGGAAGGTAGATGATGCTACAGGAGGACGGTAGATGATGCTACAGGAGGAAGGTAGATGCTACAGGAGGAAGGTAGATGATGCTACAGGAGAAAGGTAGATGATGTTAGAGTAACTGAGATGTTCACACCTGTTGCTACACATGTGAACACCTCACTGTCATCAGTAACAGCGTCAGCAACAGCATCAGTAACAGCAGCAACACAGGAACACTGCCTATGGAGCTTGGAACATGTCTGCCGAATTAGTTTTACAAATCAGTAATTACCGCGAGATCAATGACGTCAAAGGTAGACAAACATCACCTGACATACGTTGTACAAGAGGCCTCCTTTGGGCCGTGTGGCTTGTTGATGTCCTCTCTAGGTTATTATGACCACCACAGTCTCTATTGCCTCCGTCACCACCTCCACTAGCACCTTCCACGCCACAATTACTGTTACAACTACTGTCACCTGCATCACTAGGTGAAGAGCCGCTACCACCATAGCAACCACCATGACCCTCTACCACCATGACCCTCTACCACTATGACCCTCTACCACCATGACCCTCTACCACTATGACCCTCTACCACCATGACCCTCTACCACCATGACCCTCTACCACCATGACCCTCTACCACCATGACCCTCTACCACCATGACCCTCTACCACCATGACCCCTCTACCACCATCACCCTCTACCACCATCACCCTCTACCACCATCACAATCATCAACACCTCAACTACTCCAGCCGCCACAGCATGTACTTAGATCTCCTCTATTACCACCAACGCATCAACAAGGGCCAAATGCTAATTAAACCAGCCGCTCCCCCCCCCCCTGTTAACGAATAAAGCATTATACACGACAATCAATTGATGACGTTCGAACTGTTCTCGAGCAGAGTTCACGTCCTCCGTTCGAATCTTAACTCTGTAAATGCTTCACCCACGTGTAAAAAGTACAAATATTGGAGTGATTGTTTACAAACAGAACCTTAACACCTAACCTAACCTTAATTAGGACTATACACCAAATTCTAATTTTGAATAAAAATGAAATTAAATAAGTGAAAATATCGAGTTTGATTACACTACAATTAATAATTAATAATCTTTTCACGTTGATATGGCATAAGACCAGCATCAAATATGTAATAAGAAAAGTCCATTGGTCGGATTTTGAAAACCCGGGCAGAGGGAGCCGGTCGGCCGAGCGGACACCACGCTGGACTTGTGATCCTGTGGTCCTGGGTTCGATCCCAGGCGCCGGCGAGAAACAATGGGCAGAGTTTCTTTCACCCTATGCCCCTGTTACCTAGCAGTAAAATAGGTACCTGGGTGTTAGTCAGCTGTCACGGGCTGCTTCCTGGGGGTGAAGGACTGATCGAGGACCGGGCCGCGGGGACACTAAAGTCCCGAAATCATCTCAAGATAACCTCAAGGAGCGATACGATGGTTCCACCCATGATAGCACGGATTGGAACACGAACAAGGGGACACAGGTGGAAACCTAGTACCCAGATGAGCCACAGGGACGTTAGAAAAAAATATTTCAGTGTCAGAGTAGTTTACAGGTGGAATGCATGCAAATGTGATGTGGTGGAGGCTGACTCCATACACAGTTTCAAATGTAGATATGATAAGAGCCCAGTAGGCTCAGGAACCTGTACACCAGTTGAGAGGCGGGACCGAAGAGCCAGAGCTCAACCCCCCCCCCCACAAGCACAACTAGGACAGTACACACACACACACAAACCGTTAATGAATGAGTTAAACATTCCCGGCCTGTAAATGACGCATAAAAGTGTCGATATATTGTTTGCTCGCCATGTTGGGATTTGTTAATTAAACTTAACACGAAACTTTAGCGTTCCGGCACAAGCGAGACAAAGTGTCCTTTTTGTTGCAGTTTCCCCCGCGAGGTAATTGGAGCCCACTCAGCCCAAAAATCAAAGCAGGTCAGTTTTGGAGGTAAATGTGGCGCGCGCGGGGTGGAGGGAGGGACGGGTGAACGGGCTGGTGGACGGGCGGGTGAGCAGGGAGGGACAGGAGGACAGAGAAGAACTTGAGGGAGAATGGAGATGGTAATGTATGGATCTCCGTAGGTGTCTCAACGAGCCATCAGGAAGTTGAACACTAAAATTCAGGTAAGTTGTCCTTGTCGCTATCGCAAAAATATGATATTGGTATTTACATTATTTTTGTTTCGTTTACTATAGTGCAGGAGTCATCACACATTTGTATATCCATTTACGAAACCTGTATATCTTTCCTCAATCACAGTATCTCAGCAGCCATTGTGATACTGAGTGTGGTCCTATCGTGGTTGGCTGTGTAATATGCTGCTTCGAGAAGTGTTGTTCTGCCATGTCTACCAGCTGTGCTCTCCACGTCTCATCACCCCCGTGGTGGTGGGCCGTACTTATTATCCGCTCTATTTACCTCGTATTAGAGTCGAAGGCCATGCTCCCCTTCCCGAGTAGGTGGTGTTGGGTGCGGTGTTGGAGGAGGAGGAAGGTAGAGGAATTATCAGGACAAAGCACTATAAGTCATTACGTCTATATCGCATACGGAAGGGATAAGGATTTAGGATAGGACGAAAGAAAGAAAGTGCCCAACCACTTCGACGGTCGTGGATTGGACGCAGTCCTGCAAGAAGACCGTCGCTCTACCGTCCTGTTCAGGTGGGATGAGGTGTTGGTGAAGCAGACCCCCTGGGACATAGAGATCAAGGAGGTACTTGACATCCCTGTTATCTTTGTCTTCTATCTTCCTTATCTTTCACCCTTCATATACGCCACCTAAGACGACAACCCTCCAATATTGACAGAACCTATAGCTATAATGGATGGAATATACAAAAATGAACAACTGTACCCCAAAAAAGGTACTATTTTGCAATATCGAAATTATAAAATGCATAGCAAAAGGTAGAACAGGTTAGCCATAAGCTTAATTTAATCTGTCCGATATCTAAACTTCATGCTTACGCCTAAATATGCAATCCAAAGTGTTCTTAAGTTGTTGCGTTCTTTTTCAGGCCCTTGAGAACATAGAAAAGTACAAATATGGACTTTTAGGGCGTAATTGTACGTATAGAAACTATGGATAGCAGTACACCATATGTACTATGTGTACTACCATTCATAGTCGCTATATGTGCTACCATCCATAGTAGCTATATCTACTGTGATGTACTACCATCCATAGTAGCTACACGTACTTTCCTAAGATGCAAGAGACAGCAGGATGTTACACGATAAGATAACAGAGATAAGGCGATAAGACTGAGGGCAGAAGTAATTCTGTAACAAAACAGAAGAGAAAGTTGCTCCCGCTTTTGGTGACTAAAATAACAAAGATGATAATTCCCTTTGTGGGGGTGAGTAACCTCGTCAACAATATTATTATTGCTCACCTAGTAGTTAATAGGTACCTGGGAGTTAGGCAACTGTTGTGGGATGTATCCTGGGGATATCAGTAGCTGGCCTGGAGTGGATCTTGATAATTCTCAGTACAGAGTTCCTCTCTCTGGCAACTCGAATAATTGTCTTACATTTCTCAGAATAATTCACTATATAAGAATTAATATTTTTAAATCTAATTGGTAGTAGAGATAAGTTGTGGAAGAAGTTTCCAGTGAGCAAATACACATTATTTATATATTTAGGTTACGGAAATACAGCAAAGGATTAGTGTTTCAGTTTCTGGCTAATTAACATAATAGTCAAAATACAAAATGACCAGCAAGATGTGCTCTGTTAATATTTGTTGATCTGTATATTGAGCAGGTTGCTTAAGACACTGCAAGAGGTCACAATGTACAGTGTTCACAGTGACTGTTGCTGTGTGCCTGAGGTACGCCTTCGAGGACAGCGGGAGTCTTGTGCCTTAACAATCCTCAAGTTGCCTTAATTTTTTTTTTATTTAACACTTTTATTGCTCCTTATTTTTTTGTCGTATTTTGGTTCATCAATTAAGTTGTTAATTAAGATGTTCACGATGTTACTACAAGAGTGTTTGCTCTTGTTTACCTCCCCACAGTCTTACACTGTTGTTTGTGCAGCTTTTGTGGCTGTTTGTTTGTCTTAAGCATCATCTTGCTACTGGGGAGCTTGTTGCTTGACTTGAACTGCCTCTGCAGCAGGCCTCCGGGCGGCGGCCTCACTAAGCTGGCCCTTCTGGGAGAGTCTTTGGTTTGGTTCGTCGTTCTGAACAGTCTTCTGTAAAGGACTTTTGCTGCTTTTGTCATTCTCACCCACCTTTTGTGCAACATGATTTGTGCTTTCTTTGGTGTTCTCATCTGCTTTCTGTGCATGATTTTGTCTCTGTTTTTGGGTTGGCATTGTCTTCAGTTCCAGAATTTGGCCTCTTTTGTTGTTCAGGACTCTCCTATGAGCAGAAAGTTTTGTTTCTTTATCGTTCTGACCTTTTTGTTGTGCAATGGTTTGGTGATTTATGTTCTGGAGGTTCTCGAGGTGTGCCGGAGACTGACCAGTCTGTACAGGACCATTACCAGGCTTATCTACGTCTACTTCACTTTTGGTTCGATTCTGGCCACTTTTCTGGAGGAGTGTCACCAAACTCTCCACCTTCTCTTGCGTCGCTGGGGCATTAGCGTGATCGTGAGCTGTCAGCGTGATGGGCACTTGGCAGATGGCTCCCTTCAACAGGTCGCAGCTCTCGGCGTCCACGTAGAAGAACCTCTTCCGGTCGAGGTAAGCGCAGTCCTTGGTGGCCCCATCACTGTCCTCAGGCTCCTGTCACGACAGCGAAAAGTCATCACACAATTAGGAAACAATAATTCAAGTGTGCAGGGAAATGTGCCAATATGCCATCTTAGAATGAAGGACTGGACAAAGGGATGAAAGTCGAATGAAAAAACAACTTCACGGGCTCACCATAGCCCGGTGCTGCTTGGAACTTTTTGTTCCAAGAAGCGAATCTTAAACAACAACTTACGCAACAGCAGTCATTGATCTTAGCACGCACGCACGAGCTAAGACGGACGTCTTGGGAGAAGGTTGTTATTTTGTGCCAACTGTGAAAAAGTTGTGAGTGTGTCACAAGTGTGATGGTTGTGAGTCTGTCGTAAATACTGCTAGTTCAAGAGCCGGGTGTGGCCAAATCTGCCGGTAGTACAAGAACCTTATTTGGTCTTACCATCTGGTAGCACAAGAGCCAGCTGTGGCCTCACCTGGTGGTAGTACAAGAGCCAGCTGTGGCCTCACCTGGTGGTAGTACAAGAGCCAGCTGTGGCCTCACCTGGTGGTAGTACAAGAGCCAGGTGTGGCCTCACCTGGTGGTAACACAAGAGCCAGCTGTGGCCTCACCTGGTGGTAACACAAGAGCCAGGTGTGGCCTCACCTGGTGGTAACACAAGAGCCAGGTGTGGCCTCACCTGGTGGTAACACAAGAGCCAGGTGTGGCCCTCACCTGGTGATAACACAAGAGCCAGCTGTGGCCTCACCTGGTGGTAAGTGCTACTGCTGTAGTAAGAGATGGCCCACAGCGGGGAGCCTCGCATCATGGGAGCCCCGTTCACCCACACCCAGGTCTGCTCCTGCGCCTCGTCCGTCCCGCCTATCCAGTAGTCATGTGTGTCCAGACCTGCAAGTACACACCTGTATGTTGTTGGTCTGGTTTGGCACCAGTATGAGTATCTCCACCACTCACCCATCTCCACCACGTGTCTCCACCACAGGTCTCCTACACTCACCCTTCTCCGCGATAAACTGCAGCAACTGGCCGTAGAAGTCGAGGGAGTCTATGACGAGGAGATCAGCGCCCAACTTCTCACACAAGTACCGAGCCTCCTTCCAGTTGTTGGAGGTGAAGGGGTCCACCAGCACACATCTGCCGGAGATCACGTCGTACAGTTCGCTGCACGCTTGTGGAGTGGTCGTAGTGGGAGGCGCTGGAGTGGTCGTATTGGGAGGCGGTGGAGTGGTCGTAGTTTCAGGCGCTGAACTTGTCGTCTCTATTGAGGAATTTAGTATTTGATAAATCTCAGAGAGAAGAGAGAAGAAGATAGTGAAAGAAAATATACTGAGATCAGAATTTCTACAATATTTTGGGTCAAATTATAAAAATAAAGTTGATGAGAAAGGCTCACGCATCATGAATGCCTCCTTTGGGCCCATAATATTGACCTTACCACACTGAAGGAAAGGAGAGATAGAAGAGACATGATAACGACATACAAGATTCTTAGGGATATTGACAAGGTAGACAAAGCAGCGTTGTTCAAGGTTAGGAGCAGCAGAACGAGGGGTCACCGATGGAAACTGGAGACCCAAATGCGTTACAGAGACATCAGGAAGGACTGTTTCAGTGATAGAGGTGTCAGTAAATGAACTAGGCAAGATGCGGAAGTCGATGAAGCTAATTCGATTTAAGATTGTAAATTTACATATGATAAAAGCTTGAGAAATGAGTCACTCCATTAATCTACGAATCTAATCGCGGCAGGGGATCGTATTCCAGGGACCATAGGATTAAGGACTTGCCCGAAACGCTACGCGTACTAGTGGCTGTACAAGAATGTAACAACTCTTGCATATATCTAAAAAAAAAAAAAAAAAAAAAAAACGAACGTTCGGAAGGTGGGGCTAGGAACCAAGCTCGACCCAGTAGGCACATGTACTCGAGTACGGATAGGGAAATGTGCTAATATACCATCTTAGAATGAAGGACTGGACAAAGGGATGAAAGTCGAAGGAAAAAATTCACAAGTGATCAAGACTCACCCCAGCAGTTGGACTCATCCTCACAATACTGACAGTCACAGGCACCATCACACACCCAGTACCAGGGGATACACTGGTCGGTATAGCGGCAGGTGTACTGGTAACAGGTTCTTCCAACACCATCAGAAGACTCAACTGCCTCTGTCGGCTCCTCTGTCTCAACCTCCGTCCACTGCTGAGACTCTTCCTGTACAGCCGCTCCTGTAATAGTTGGTGGTGGTTTGGTTAAGTGAGAGATCCTTAGTGTGCAATGGTATTTGTGTGTGTAACAGTGCTCCTTGTGTCAGCAACATTGTTACTTAAGTGAAAAGTGTTTTGTTCCTTGTATGGATAAGTGTTCCTCGAGTAAGAGAACAATGTTCCTTGTGTATAGCATTTTTGCTTGTATGTAATGTTTATGATGTACATATTAATGGTTGTGTATATCAATGTTTCTTGTGTGTACTGAACTACACACAAGGAAGCTCCTGAAGATACAGTGGGTGGCAGGTACGTCTTACCTGAGCTCAAGGACAGGGAAGCCACCAGCAGTGTCGCCAGCAGTGCCGCCTCCAGGGTCACCGTCCGCGCCATCTTCACTCCTCCAAGGAATCAACAGTGATCACGTCAGCAGCAAATGAATCAGCAGTATCTGCAGTGACAACAGAAAGGGAACTGAGGTTGTTCCTCTAGCAGTGACGCCGGCAGTGGACCTGGCAACACTAGTGACACGAGGACTGGACTTACCAGCACAACAGTGACGCCGGCAGTGTACCAGCCAACACGACCTGAAGGTTTGACACAGTGTTTATCAGTAAGGCAGACAAGCTATCTCCTTCCCTCTTGATCATATCTCTCATTTACTGTGGTCACCACAAAAAAAAACTGGAATACACCGGGAAAATATACATATCTAAAAACACAGATTACGCCTTTATTATCAATGTCTCATCTTAACGAAGTTTAAGGTCTTACAGAAAGTGTGTTTATAATATATATATATATATATATATATATATATATATATATATATATATATATATATATATATATATATATATATATATATATATATATATATATATATATATATATATATATATATATATATATATATATATATATATATATATATATATATTAGTATATTTTGGTAGCAGTCTTTCCTGTAGACATATATTATTAAATATGACCGAAAAAGTAAGATTAATAATTCTAACACGAATTTTCTCAATCTTTCGTACATTACGCTTCGCTGTTGGAGGTAAATCAAAAATCAATTCTCCAAAATTCATTTTTATTTCTAGTCTGACGCGACACGGGCGCGTTTCGTAAAACTTATTACATTTTCAAAGACTTTAGTTCACAAAAACACAACTGAATAGAACTTACGTATCTCCGATTTTATATCTACATTTGAGTGAGGTGGAAGGGGTGATGTGGCATTAACACAAGACAGAACAAAATGTGGTATTAATAGGGTATTAATTTCATCAACACAAGACAGAACAAGGGTATTAATTTCATCAACACAAGACAGAACACGAAACAATGGATATTGAATAGAAGTGTTTGTAGAAAGCCTATTGGTCCATATTTCTTGATGCTTCTATATTGGAGCGGAGTCTTGAGGTGGGTAGAATATAGTTGTGCAATAAATGGCTGTCGATTAATCAACAGCCAATTATTGCACAACTATATTCTACCCACCTCAAGACTACGCTCCAATATAGAAGCATCAAGAAATATGGACCAATAGGCTTTCTACAAACACTTCTATTCAATATCCATTGTTCCGTGTTCTGTCTTGTGTTGATGAAATTAATACCCTATTAATACCCTTGTTCTGTCTTGTGTTGATGAAATTAATACCCTATTAATACCACATTTTGTTCTGTCTTGTGTTAATGCCACATCACCCCTTCCACCTCACTCAAATGTAGATATAAAATCGGAGATACGTAAGTTCTATTCAGTTGTGTATTTGTGAACTAAAGTCTTTGAAAATGTAATAAGTGTTACGAAACGCGCCCGTGTCGCGTCAGACTAGAAATAAAAATGAATTTTGGAGAATTGATTTTTGATTTACCTCCAACAGTGAAGCGTAATGTACGAAAGATTGAGAAAATTCGTGTTAGAATTATTAATCTTACTTTTTCGGTCATATTTAATAATATATATATATATATATATATATATATATATATATATATATATATATATATATATATATATATATATATATATATATAGATTTAATCCTGCCAGGCATGAAACGTAGCGGTTGTCAAAAGGACAATTGATCTGTATTAATTGTCCCAACGGACTTGTTTGATACTGAAATCTTCAGTTAATATGAATATAATGATTAATATAAAAAGACAACAATGAGATAGGAAAGACTTACTTTTCAGTAGCCGAGAGCACTAAGACTTACCGAGGGTTGAACACCATAGTACAGGGCGGCCCTGACTTACCTGTGGTAAGCGTGCCCAGAACTCCACTTCCTTTGGCCTCGGAGCAAATGTGACGGAACTTGTGGTTCTTCATATCACCGAAGATTACATTACTGGCTTCATAAAAGGTGAGTCTGGGCGATTGTATAAGATGTTGATGGTGTCTTGTGTGTTGTTGAAGACACGCCGGAACATCGTGGAGGGGCTACAGTGTGCTCTACAGGACCGCCGTCAACCAAGCACAATCGTCTTTCAAAATGTGAGAAGTCCTTGCGAAACGCTTTTAGGCCTCAAGACTATAAATGAGAAAATGAACTTTGGGGAGTTAATTTTTCAATTACCCCTTACAGTGAAGAAAAAGGTAAACAAATATTGAGAAGATTCGTGTTAGAATCATTAATCTTACCCTTTCGCTCATATATACCCCAAGCCACTCATCACTCACATGTAAACACTGCAATAAGGGTCGCAGGCTAGTACAGTCGTTACCAGCAATTACAAGATTATTAGGATGGACAGAGTAGTAACAACAAAGCATGAATATAAGTATACTATGATTACTTAATACCTTAAGTCCGTCCAGCCTTCACAATATACAGATTTCCTGTACAATACTTCCTCTTCCACTGTGACTCCCTGTTTTCTGTCCTTCAGATACTCCCTTACCTAGTCCAGTGTTTTACCAGTTATCCCAACCTGGCCCTCTATATAGGTGGTATGCTACAGGTAACATGCTACAGGTAACATGCTACAGGTAACATGTTACAGGTAACATGCTACAGGTAGCATGCTACAGGTACCATGCTACAGGAAGCATGCTACAGGAAGCATGCTACAGGTACCATGCTACAGGTAGCATGCTACAGGTAGCATGCTACAGGTAGCATGCTACAGGAAGCATGCTACAGGAAGCATGCTACAGGTAGCATGCTACCTGTAGCATGCTACAGGTACCATGCTACAGGAAGCATGCTACAGGAAGCATGCTACAGGTACCATGCTACAGGTAACATGCTACAGGTAACATGCTACAGGTAGCATGCTACAGGAAGCATGCTACAGGTAGCATGCTACCTGTAGCATGCTACAGGTACCATGCTACAGGTAACATGCTACAGGTAACATGCTACAGGTAACATGCTACCTGTAGCATGCTACAGGTAGCATGCTACAGGAAGCATGCTACAGGAAGCATGCTACAGGTAACATGCAACAGGTAGCATGCTACAGGTAACATGCTACAGGTAGCATGCTACAGGTAGCATGCTACAGGTAGCATGCTACAGGTAACATGCTACAGGTAACATGCTACAGGTAACATGCTACAGGAAGCATGTTACCTGTACTTTCACACACAAGATTGTTGTCAAGAGAAATATTAGTAGCCACCTCCTGGCCGCCTCTCGATATCCTCCGCTCTCTAGTTTCTCACAAACAATTTTGTTATCTTCTGTAATTGAAATGAATCTATATTCGTGGCTTACCTGGCTCCCTGGCGGCTCGTAGAGGCTCTAGAGGGTGTGACCGTGGCCGCCAAGCTGCCCCCGGGGTCCGCCATATTGTCTTCCTCACACACCAGGCCCGGGCAGGGTTGCCAGATAGCGCTACTTGTAGCCCAATTGGGTTACCAATTAAGATAATTGTATTCAATTAAAAAGCCAGCTATGTATTTCGCTGCTTACTACTTTTTCGGCGACAGTTAAAATAAGCTGGGCTGTTTATTCTGAAAAGCGAATCAATCGGAAATATAAAATATTTGGCTACTTTTATTGTAAAGTTTGCGACATTTAGTTCTTCAGCTCGCGACTTTTGGCAAGTCAAACCCCTGCACCAGGGTTGCCAGCTCCAAACTGCTGAAAGTAGCGAGCTGACGGTCTAAAAGTAGCGAGCTGACGGTCTAAAAGTAGTGAGCTGACGGTCTAAAAGTAGTGAGCTGACGGTCTAAAAGTAGCGAGCTGACGGTCTAAAAGTAGTTAGCTGACGGTCTAAAAGTAACGAGCTGACGGTCTAAAAGTAGCGAGCTGACGGTCTAAAAGTAGCGAGCAGACGGTCTAAAAGTAGCGAGCTGACGGTCTAAAAGTAGCGAGCTGACGGTCTAAAAGTAGCGAGCTGATGGTCTAAAAGTAGCGAATTTGCAATAAGAGTAGCCCAATTTTTTTTTTAGTGACTGATACAGGTGTCAGAGTAAAATATTTTAATATATAGAGTACACTACACGATTTTAATTGTTTTGTTAATATTATCTCTGCATTAGTAGACGCCATTAATTTCTCATTAATCTCTAAATATTCCCCGTTAACATTACTCTCTTTGTAGGTCATATGAAAGAGTTTAGTTTTCATTTATAAAATATTTATATACAATCTACTGGTAAGGTATAATTGACACTTGACTTTTGGGACTACTTTTATGGGCGGAAGGATATGACTGAGCTACGGTCTGCCAGCACCCAGCTGATGGCCGTCTCTGAAGACAAATATATTCCTTGCTTTTTTTATATCATTCTCTCCTTCTCTCTCGGTTTAGCCAAATTGCTACAGAAACTGTCTCTACACAAAATATTTCAACCAGGATATGAGGCTCGTAATAGCAATAAGAAATACGCTGGCGGGATTACGCTCCACAGAAATTATAAAACAAAAATAATACTTCAGGAAATATTACAGGAATTATGAGAGATACTAATAATATTTATAAAATTAATTTTGTTTAATTAAGATATGAACACTGTAATCTTGACATAGATTGTAATATCACACACGTGACAATTTTCAAAAGCCTCTTCTAAATATTGTGATCGCGAGTCTTTTTGGTATATACAAAATAAAGTGTCCGGGGGGTCTTGGGGGACGCCATTCTGGTCCTTGAGGCATCCGAGCATAAGACACAATATTGCTGCTCGCGTCGCCGGGTTCCAATTGGTATGTCCGTCTCCAAGCAGAATATGGACGAATATTCTTAGTAACGACGAAGATATGTTTTATACGAGGTCAGATTTGCTCCTGAGAAAGGTTATGATGTTTGTGTTTACTGTTATGTTAGTTTCTCCTCTGTCTGTCTGTCTGTCTGTCTGTCTGTCTGTCTGTCTGTCTGTCTGTCTGTCTGTCTGTCTGTCTGTCTGTCTGTCTGTCTGTCTCTCTCTCTCTCTCTCTCTCTCTCTCTCTCTCTCTCTCTCTCTCTCTCTCTCTCTCTCTCTCTCTCTCTCTCTCTCTCTCTCTCTCTCTCTCACGGAAAACGTTAATATTACTAATAATATTAAGTCGCGTTCTTTACCTGACTGGTGGAATCCGTTCAAAATACGACGTGTTAAGTGAGAGTGTTGAAGGTGCCCTCTGGCGGTGACTCGCTACAACGACCAGCTCTTACTTAATTACCTTGTTATTCAGGACGGTGGTGATGTAGAGGTAATTACCGGTCATTAAGGGGGTCATGACCCCCGAGGGCCACAGTTACTGCCCCCTGGTGACCCCGACCTGTTACTTTAGTGGTAATTACTTCAGCAGTAGGACGCTGGTGGGTGTGGCGTCGGTCTGGGGGGAGGGTGGGGGTGTGGCGTCGGTCTGGGGGGGAGGGTGGGGGTGTGGCGTCGGTCTGGGTGGAGGGTAGGGGTGTGGCGTCGGTCTGGGGGGAGGGTGGGGGTGTGGCGTCGGTCTGGGGGGAGGGTGGGGGTGTGGCGTCGGTCTGGGGGGAGGGTAAGGGTGTGGCGTCGGTCTGGGGGGAGGGTGGGGGTGTGGCGTAGGTCAGGGGGGATAGTGGGGGTGTGGCGTCGGTCTGGGGGGAGGGTAAGGGTGTGGCGTCGGTCTGGGGGGAGGGTGGGGGTGTGGCGTAGATCAGGGGGGGGGATAGTGGGGGTGTGGCGTCGGTCTTGGGGGGAGGGTGGGGGGTGTGGCGTCGGTCTGGGGGAGGGTGGGTGTGTGGCGTACGTCAGGGTGGATAGTGGGGGTGTGGCGTCGGTCTGGGGGGAGGGTGGGGGTGTGGCGTAGGTCAGGGGGGATAGTGGGGGTGTGGCGTCGGTCTGGGGGGAGGGTGGGGGTGTGGCGTAGGTCAGGGGGGGATAGTGGGGGTGTGGCGTCGGTCTTGGGGGGAGGGTGGGGGTGTGGCGTCGGTCTGGGGGGAGGGTGGGGTGTGGCGTAGATCAGGGGGGAGGGAGGGTAGGGTGTGGCGTCGGTCTGGGGAGAGGGTGGGTGTGTGGCGTAGGTCAGGGGGGATAGTGGGGGTGTGGCGTCGGTCTTGGGGGGAGGGTAGGGTGTGGCGTAGGTCTAGACGGAGTGTAAGGGTGTGGCGCAGGTCTGGAGGTGTGGAAAATAAGCCACATCCTCATATAAATAAATAACACAAATAGTTACCCAGACTTGACTGCCTTTCCTGGGCGTCTCATGCACGACCCCCTGACGAGTCCCAGCTTGCCATATACATCAACTCCCTGACTCAAATCTCAAACCATCACTTATAACTTACCCAAGATATTTTACTTAATGCTCGGCATGGATTAAACCCACAGGAATATAGCGGTGAGCGAGAATTGAGGAGATATAATCTAGTTTGCCGGGTGGCGACGGCAGGCAGGACGACGCCGCCATGATGGACCAGACGTCAACACGACGCCTTGAGACACTCTTCACGGTTCCTCCTGAGCCTCTCTCAAGCTCAGGAGCAGTTTGGTGAGTTCTGTTGAGATTGTGAGGTGCCGGAGACTATATAGATTAATTAAGAAGCGCCCACAAGGCCATATATAAGTGGCGACTATTCCCAGCGGGACGCCACACGAGGCTGTCAGCTCCAAAATAATAGATAAATAGTCATTTATCCATCCGTATTTATCCATGGCTATGTCATGGGCATGGTGGGTTAGGTCCTCCTGCAGGCCCCGTGGGGTAGTGGTGATACACTCGCCTCGTGCTTCGTGAACCCTTTGGCCTGGGTTCGTATCCCGGCCGGGGAGGATTGACTGGGCGCCAATCCTTAACTAAAGCCTCTGTTTACCTTACAGTAAAATTGAAACGATTTGGCAGGTCGTATTCCAGGGAATATTAGGATTAAGGACCTGCCCGGAACACTACGCGTGCTGGTGGCTGTACAAGAATGTATGAACTCTTGTATATATAAATAAGTCAATACCTAGGCCTGGCTCTTTGGTCCCACCTCTCAACTGTCAATCAACTGGTGTACAGGTTCCTGAGCCTATTGGGCTCTATCATATCTACATTTGAAACTGTGTATGGAGTCAGCCTCCACCACATCACTGCCTAATGCATTCCATCTGTTAACTACTCTGACACTGAAAAAGTTTTCTCTAACGTCCCTGTGGCTCATGTGGGTACTCAGTTTCCACCTGTCTCTCTTTGTTCGCGTACCACCAGGGTTAAACAGTTTATCTTTATCTACTCTGTCAATTCCTTTTGAGAATCTTGTAAGTAGTGATCATGTCTCTCCTTACTCTTCTGTCTTCCAGTGTCGTGAGGCTAAGGTCCAGTAATCTTTCCTCATAGCTCATTCCTCTCAGCTCGGGGACTAGCCTGGTGGCATGCCTCTCAACCTTTCCTAACTTTGTTTTGTGTTTGACTAAATGTGGACTCGAGGCTGGAGCCGCATATTCCAGCATTGTAAAGTAGTAAAGTCAATTTTATTCAGTACATACATAGTTGTTTTACAAACATAATGTTGGATTTATAAATAGAGCTAGTACATACAATACCTAAAGCCACTAGTACGCATAGTGTTTCTGGCATTGGTCATTATTGGTCTGACATATGTGGCATACAGGCTTCTGAATAATCCATCTGTGTAAATCGCTGTAGTATTTGCGTAGCAATTTTTCATCACTGAAGCGAAGACTGAGGCTATGGCTGAGTTTGGTGCAGACTTTGGAATGGTGTCTTCCACTTATATTGATGTTTTAAATGTTGTATATTTATTTATAAAACCCAAGGTGGAATAGAGAGGGAACAGTAAGTTAGGTTTCAGAGTTTTGGAGTAAAGTGAGGTCAATATTGAGGTTACTTGTAGCCCGTGTGAGGAAAGGTGATTAGAGGGGAAGCCGGAGTTATGTGAGTTAATTGTTGGGTGAATTTTTTTGCTGATATTGTCAGGTGTGCCCCAGAATCCCGGTTAAACCTGGGGGGGGGGGGAGGGGTTTACCCCAGACAAGTAAGTAATTGTTTCTAAACCTTGATTTATTGTTGTAATATTAGATTGGATTGCAACAATTTAGAAATGTTTGCTCAAATTGATATTCATTAATATACAGTAGAACTTTTTGATCATTAGGCTAGGCTATAAATAATACAGTTTTGTGGCTTTGAGAGCGTGCACCGAGACTAATCACTGCTTCCGCTGTATTAATTTAATGGTTTCATTATAAAACTAAATGTGGAACTTCTCGGCAGATATCCATGGACAGCGACTTGAAATATTTGATGTCCGGTCCAGGTTGCTGAGGAGGTCTAATCTGATGAACTTATGGGCTGCGGGACGCTTCTTGTTCCAAAAAGCAGAAAACACCATCATGAAGCTAATATCAAGGATAAGCACTCAGTCGTTCAAGACACTGACAGTGCGAGCGGTGAGGGACTTAGGCGATC